TTTTAATGGACTGTGAACTAACATGAACAAACAATGAACAATTCTTTTTTTTTATTAACATTAATAAAGGGTATAAATACTGTAAAAATATATTGTTCATAACTAATGCATTAACTAATGTTAACAAATTAGACCTTATTGTAAAGTGTTACCATTTTTAAAAAGGGAATCATGAGGTTTTATTGTAATGAACAATAATATGTCATTAAAACACTTCAAATGTACACTGTCTATATCTAGATACATAATTGTAATTAAAAAGATAGTAAACCCAATCATTTTTCTAAAAACCACTTGTCTTGCACAATTAACTAACTAGATCTAAGTGTTGATTTTCAGTTTCAGATTTGAAGTGAAAGTCAGCAAGAGCAGATACAGCTCAAGAGATGATTTGAAGTCTCTTCAGTTTCAACCTCTCTTAAAAGTAATCTTTGTTGTTGCATAACTATTGGCCCTGATCAACAGCCCCAGATTCTGTGATGAGTGAGGACAACCCAGCTTCCAGCCTGCGTTTCTCTGACCTCGCTATTTCCCCAACGAAATGAAAAGTTGGAGGAAAAACAGCAGATCTGACTTGTGAATTTACCTCCCGCTGACACATGAATATGCAGCCCGAATATTATTAACAATTCAGAAGTGCCTCGTTAAAGATAACTTATAATTTAGGCTCTCAGCATCCAGCAAATCTAAGAACCATTTCAATTTTTCAGGAACCGAGGCAAACATTCAATTTAATGATAAATTAACAATACAACAATTTAATCTTATTTTTTGTGACCTATTTTCACGTTTCAAATGCCACAATTTGTTTGCAACCCCGCAAAAGCGAAATGAAGGTCGTGTCTGTGTCTACAGTGTCTGTGTTAAAGGCTCACATAAAAAGCATATGTCCAGCTTTTTGCACATAAAAAGTTTAGGGCCAACAGGGCTACCAAATGTGTCCTTGGCTCTCCGAGTTGCAGCAGCAGCCTTACTAAAACAGTATGCAGAGTTTTACACTTTGGATTATTTCAGATGTTTTATTAATACTGGGAATTTCAAATTTGAATATGTTTGAATACACTATTCACTGTGAAAATATCTACATTACATTTATTGATGCAACTTAATGCTTATAATTAAAATATGCTTGCTGGTTTCATTACACTCCTGTGAATTTAATAAGTTTTAATATGAAAAAAAACTGCAAAATGATCAAGTCAGCTCAAGTCAATATTTCATGTCACTTATTTATTTAGTGTATCTCAAGTATGAGAAATCATAACAAAATGACTATTAGAATCATTTACACAGCTCTCCGGAATACTTGTTTCTGACTGGCAATAATTGTGGCATTCAAATATTCAGATAGTTTTCCTAGGCAAGTGATTTTCTGCATAGCTCTTTCATCACCATACGGTCTTTTTTCACATAATAAAATAATTTCAACTCAGATCAATATATCATGTCACTTTTTTAATTTATATGCTAAGTAGCCATTTAATAAATGGCATAATGCCTGGCTGTACATTATCTCTATGTTATGATTTAAAGAGTAACACTTGTAATTTCATTACTGAACATATATTTTGTTCGTTTTATTATCTCTAGTAAAACGTATGTCTCAGTATGACATTGTTTACGTGAGTCTTGCAGTTCGCCAAAAAATCAACGGATCAGTGCTGAACAAAATACAGTGAAAAAGACACAACGTGGTTGCCACTCTACATTTTATTATCTAAATCTGTAAAAGAGATGCATGCAACATTAGGCCACAGTTTGAGGTTTCCAGCAGTTTGAACGGCGAGAATGATTTCAGCACCCGTCATCTAGGGAGGAGATGAGAACATTTTACGCAAAAGAGCCCTACAGTGCTTTGCTCCGCACTTCAAAAAAATCTTGCCTGTCTGCATGAGCAGTAACCTTGGAGAGCCTCCTACGTGCCATCAGTCCATCTTTACAAAAAAGGTCCAAGGATAGCTTTGTATATTTCCAATTTAATTTCTCCATTTTGATTTGCAAACACTGCAACACAAAAGCCCTGGCTGTGCAGGGGACAGATTTATCCCTTTAATATGAGAGGCCTGACAAACTTTTATGTAACAGATCCTTTAGTGACACACTGGCATTGCTCCAGCTCAGTGGCAGGCATCAAGTGGATTCGGAGCTGGGGCGTGGCAGCACAGAATTGCTGTGAAATCCCAGATAAGCTGAGTTTCAGTGGCAGTAGAGCCGGAGCGGAGTGAGTGAGAGGACAAATGCATGAAAAAAAAAGAGTCTTACCATCTGCTGCTGTGACAGTGACACGAAGGCAGACCTTAAGGCAAGCCCCTGGATGGAGATCGCCCCCCAAATAAGCCAGGGGTTTGTGAAATCTTCATTAGATTGAAAAGATTTCAGTTGCATTAGATAACAAAATAGTCTTCAATTTTATATGCCGTCTTCGCAAGGACTTTTAAGCAACTGGTGTCATTTTTAGGAAACGTATGACATCAGTTTCCATCACAAGAACTTTTTGTGAAATATGCTATGTTTCAATGCCATTTGGTTTGATATTTGATGTAGATAACACTTTACAATGAGATTCCATTTGTTATTAACATGAACTAACCAAGAAAAATACTTCTTAAGCATTAATTAAAGCAACAGTTCACCCCAAAAAAAGAAAATTTGCTGAAAATGTACTCACCCGGCCTCAGGCCATTCAAAATGTACAGCAGATGAGTTTGTTTCTTCATCAAAACAGATTTGGAGAAATTTAGCATTACATCACTTGCACATCAATGGATCCTTTGCAGCGAATGGGTACCGTCAGAATGAGAGTCCAAACAGCTGATAAAAACCTCACAATAATCCACAAATAAACCACACGACTCCTGTCCATCAATTATGTCTTGTGAAGTGAAAAGCTGCATCTAATGTAAGTACTGTATAGCAAATGCATTGCTCATTACTCAATGCATTAACATTAAGTAATAAGACCTTATTGCAGTGTTACTGATATCTGTAGTTGCACCAGATATTCATTGGTGTATTGACATTATGCATGTTTTATCATTTATCATTCCTAAACTGCATCATTACCATTCAAAGAGAAACATTTGGAATTGCGGTCATTACTCCGAGGACGCAGTTTGTCTTGTTGCGGATGCAAAAAGCATGCTAATTAACAAAAGAAAATCCAGCAGTATTACTGCAGGGTGCCAGTCATGGCAAACTGCCTTCTGTCTGATGTTCTCTCAACAGGAAATAAATTACAAATGGAAAGAAACGCTGACTACCATTGTTTGATTCTTTTTCATTCTCTGGGTTGTTCCTGTCAGAGCTTATTATATCATTAAATAAATAGTTCATTATGATCTTTGTATGACTGGAAGGAGCACAATTCATAGAATGGTTTATATAATGTTTATGATATTCAAAAACCATTTTTAAGCATTTGAAACCAAGGAACTGAATAGCATATCAGTAGATTTTCAGTGGAAGTTGTGCCGTCATTCTGCACGCTATAAAAAAACTTTTCATCATTTTGTTGCATCCATTTAACTTGGCACAGTAATTTCTACCCAATAGAGCAGTTATGTTGTATTCCTAAAATCCGGAACAGACTAAGCGTTTTCAAGCCAAGGGTTCCCTTGGGACTGTTTTAGGTATTTTTAGAATGGTGGTTTTGGATTTGTGAGTAAAAAAGTATGTGGTCTGTGGTTAACTTTACTTGATAAAAAATTTTTTTTAAGTAAGTTGCTAACGAGGTTGTTAAATAAGGGCTACATCTACCAAAGGGAATTGTAAATCCCTATCCACCTTATTTGTCAACGCGGAAATAAGATATTTTCAGTGAATGTCAGACTTCCGATTCAGCCGCTATACAAATCAAGCGTAGCGTTAGTTCTGGCAGGTCACGTTAGTCAAGCTTGCATCCGCTGACTTTCAGCTGATCCCCATCAACCTATGGGAATACGACACCTATCTAAGCATTCATATATAAGGTCCCGCAGTAGTATCAGCAGTTTTTGCATTGCTCAATAGCTAATTACCCTCCTCCATCCCCAACTCCTCCTCTGTCAGTCAGAATTCAGCCTTCTGATTCTCCTTTGAATCAGACTCATTTTAAAATGTGTACATAACATTATTGAACTTTAACAATATCTGCAATGCATTTATGTTGGTTCTGTTCTCGCTGCTCTCCCTGCTCTCATCCATGCTAGGCTGCATGGATGCGCAGGGAGTTCTTGCCCAGAACGGAACCATACCGCCAATCCAAACTGTATGCTAATTGTCAATCATCTTTGACGATAGTGGTCCTGACAGAAGTAACGTTACATAAATGGAATAATAACAGTGCAATTAACGATAAAAAAACTATTTGCGCTACAAACAAGTGTGTTTAGAATTAGGAAAATAAATGTAAATAATATGATAGGAAATACCAGTTTGCAATATCAAGTAGCATAATAATAATAAGCTAAAAAAAACTGGAACGGACGACACCGGAAGCCTCGCATATTCATGTTACAAATGTCCGCGCCCGAAATTAAGCCTACGATTTTAAATTCATACTTGAGGTAAACTTCGTGTAATTTGTGTGTAACCACACATTTGATTTTAATCATACATTAAAACCTGCTATATTAAGAATCTTTTGAGCCGTTTTGGGTCTACAAATGACTTTATGACTCAATGGTAGAAAGTAGCGTTACAGAATCGCTGCAGGTTAGAATTTACTTCTTAGTTTCAATTCGGTTGATTGTCTTGCAGTGTAGTAAAGGCTAGTAAATGCCACGGTTATGTAATACACAGTATTGTAAACAAAAATAAACGGAAGTGAATCAAACTTGTCATTTTACAACTGCAATGCATTGATCCCACGAGAATTATGTGGAATTGCGTCGATCACGAGGAAGTTTGGGCTTTTAGCGGATGCATTTCACTCGTGCATTAGATTTGAAAGCATGCATAGTTTGCGATGCAGAGCTTTTTGAGGTCATATGTGTCTTTCTAATCCGTCTTTTCCTCCAGCCATATACAGACAGCTGTGGGAAAGGCGTGTATGCCCACCGCTGATGCCATGTGGTCAAAGCAGCTGTGCAGCTGATAACCAATGACAGGCAGAAGACGCCGCGCGGAGCTGCGGCATGCGTCGCGTCGCGCCGCGCTGATATTTAAACCATCCACACATCGCGCATGCCAGAGATGCGAGCTGCAGCGATTTCTGCGCCGAGAGCGGAAAGATGCTGCCTTTCCCGAGTCACCGAGTTCATGGATTAAGCTGGATTTCTGGACACACCTGTAGATTTCTCACCTGCTCTGCATAATGCCTTATCTGAGACAGTTCCTGATTTCAGTGCTCTTCCTGGGCTCGTTTGGGGAATGCTGGAATAAACACACCACGAGAGAGAGGAGGTGGACAGGAGCTGTGGAAACTCAGAAGCATGGGACGTAAGTGGCATTTCAGTCTTTGACAACTGAACTTGGATTGATATTTCCCTTGCACATTGCTGGGTTCACAAATGATGATGATGATGATGAATATAGCAATAATCACAATGAAGATGACTGAAGATGCCTGTCAACAAGTACACACAACGGTTTTGTTTCTATCTATTTGACTAGTCACGATTTTCTTTATTTTTTTAGTTTCAACTGGATTTTCTTCATCAGTGAACTTATTACTAAATGTTAAGACAGAGTTTTACTTAAGGCGGCAATTCAGCTTAAGGTTTAGTGGGTTTTACAGTCAGCTAATACCGATATTTGCAGAACAGAGTGGCTGTCTGACCGATATTATACAATTTAATTATAACAGCTAAGATTTATAAAATTATAGAAATTAACCATAAATGCATGTGTCTGGTTGTCAGTTTTTGCTTTACTTGTGGTCTTTTCATCTGAAAATCTAGGAATGCCTCAATTAAGTTTGAATTTTAATTAAACTTAATTTAAAAATACTATATGTTATATACAGCCTATGCATCTAATTCTATGCATACATTGCATTTTAGGGTTACATTGAAAATTATAATTAAAAACAGAAAATGTATGACACTTCTGTTAATCGATCAAGTGGCCAGTTATCAGCCGATTCTGGTAATCTCCATATGGTCAAATCTCATGTGCACGGTAAAAAATTATTTTTCAAAGTTGTAAATAAAACAAAGATTATTGGAGTACGTTTTATAAGACAATACTATTTCATTCTTTTTACTTCAAAATTTCATGTTTAATGCAACTGCATTTCTTAGTAATTATTTGTGAAATTTACTAGCAATTTCTGAGTGAAAATTGTTTAAACTAAAGTTTCAGTGTATCGGATCTATATGGGTTTATTACTAATTACAAGCATTTTTTGATAATGTGTCTAATTTATGTGTTACGAGATGACAGTGCTGCACGTAAGAACTGAGGTGATGGTGTGAACTCATTCATCGATGTCTTTCACAGATAATTTTTCCACCACCTTTATTAGCCTGATTTCTGTATGACAGCAGAGTGCCATAAATAAGGCCAGGGGCAAGTGCGCAATTAACATGACCCAGACAGATGATACCGCCACTGAACCGAATACATATCGCTGTTTTACTCGAACTGGTGCTTCTTACTCAGACAAACAGCTACGTGTCACATGCACATTTCACCCATCTGCCAAGGACAGTATGTTGGCACAGAGCTGTCCTGACAAACAGCTCACATGGGTACAGCTTCATGGGTCTACAAAATTAAAACAAACAAAAATCTGCAGAATTAACATTAACATGTTAATTATCATGTTGTTAGAGTGCAAATTTACACGAGAAAATCCAGCAGTATCGCTGCAGGCAGGGTGCCAGTCATGGCAAGCTGCCTTCTGTCTCATATTCGCAACTGGAAATAAATTACAAATGGCAAGAAGCTGAGAGGAACGAGGCAGTCGACTTCTCACTGTCAGTGATTGTTATATCGTCACATAAAGAGTTAATTATGTGCATTGTTTGACTGGAACAATCACAGTTCATGAATCCAGTGTTCAGGACTCATGAATGTCTGTCAATAACATCTCCTGTAATTTGTAACAGATCCAGCTGCTGCAGTTAGTTCATCAAATAAAAATTAGTGTGTCAGATTGGTCGAGACGCTACAGATATTTTCAGTGGATTTCAGTGATAGACATAATCATTTTGTCATAGTCATACAAAAACACGTCCAGATTCAAAAATGGCATGTCAACAGCAAAGTTTTTGTGTGTGTATAAACATAACCTGCCATTACCACATAAATAATAATGTAAGATTATTAAGGACTAATGACTTCTTATGGCTTCAGAAGACTCTTATGGTGCTTTTTATTTTTAGTGGGTTTATTTTCTTGCCTTTTTTGGAGTTTGACAGTCATGGTCACTATGAACTGTCACTGCAATGGTGTAAAGATTCAAAAACTCTTCCTTTTGTGATCCATGGACAAAAATAACAGCATAACTGTTTGCAATGACAGGAAGGTGAGTAAATCATGTCAGAATTTTCTTCTTTTTTTTGTATGATCTATTCCTTTAAAGGGGTCATATGTTGTTGCAAAAAAGAACATTATTTTGTGTATTTGGTGTAATGAAATGTGTTATGCGGGGAAGCCCCGGCTTAGCGTGAGCTGAGGCCGGGCTAGAGTGAGCAGAGGCGGCGGGATTGAGAACGGCGCGGCTGGCGGATTCGACGAAGGAGGCTTGCGGCAACCACATGTTGACGACCCCGGGCTGGACTCCGCTTCGTGCACGGTGAAAGCTGATCCGGCGATCCACAGCTCAAAGTTGTTGTATTTCCTCAGCGACCAGCACGGATCAGCTCCAGGCATGACGAAGCAGATATCGTCCTCTTTTGGAAGGCCAAGCAAAGTAGTTTCGCTATCACAACGAAACACACAGCGCCTTCACGACATGGCGGCAACAACAATACTACAGCGAGAATAAAAGTTACGCCTTCTTTCTTTGCGTGAACATTTGGGCGGCGTTATGCAAATCTTCCCACATAGTGACGTAGATATGTGGGGGCGTGTTAGAACGAGCCGTTTTAGGTAGGTGTGGCTGACTCTTAACTTTTATAAAGAATATCTCTTTGGATTTGAGACTTTAGTCTTTGCAACTTTACAGATCTTCTTTATGCACCAAGAGCTTATAACACTCCAAAGAGAAAGGAAAAATTTAAATAGCATCATATGACCCCTTTAATGCCTTCTATTCCTTCTCTACCATGGCTATGGTATTAAAGGATGATATAAGGGGGAGCTCAAGGCTTCTCTTTAAACATATGACACTTAAAAGTTTGCTTAGTAAAGGCTAAGAACTAATGAAAGTTCTCCTGCCAGTCCATACAGTCCCCCTGTTCTTTTTTTAATGATGTGTTCCTATATAGGGCAAAGAAAAAGAAACACTCCCGTGTTTGATGCTGTTCCTCCTATGAATAGAGTATCTAAAACGAGTCACTCGTTTGGATGCTCTGACTCGGCGTACGTTTGGGAATTGCTCTTTGTTCAGCAGGGGGTCAGAGCAAAGGGAGTGAAAACAGCCCAAACATATTCACCCCCTCTGACGCATACACAGATCTGTCAGCTCTGTCAGTGAAGCATTGTTGCATCTGCTTGATGGTGAAAACCTGACTGCTAGTTCAAAACATGATGTAATGAGTTCACAACTGTCAACCAATGTCATAGATTCATAGTATTGTAGATTTTCACCAAGGGGTTAAAGGGCATTTTAATTTGCTTTTCTTTCAAAACACTAGATAGATAGATAGATAGATAGATAGATAGATAGATAGATAGATAGATAGATAGATAGATAGATAGATAGATAGATAGATAGATAACGGTAACATACTTTGGTTAAAATTCCTCAATGGTCATGTAAAACAGCACCCTTTTTACCTTGTCAAAAACAACCCTGTTCACAGCGACTTGTTTCGGTGCATGTCTCTTTAAATGATAATGAGCTACTGCTGTGGGTGTTGACACAAGACACATGAATTTGCTGCCTTGGACTCAGTATATAGCTCAGAGGTGGTCAAATAGCTAGCTATCTACGTAGAAACCGGCTGCAAATTAAAAATGCTTGATGGATGACATGGTTTCACACTCAGACAGCGCATAACAAACTGACTGCTTGCTTTCTCTCTTTTTTTAGCTTTTCTGAGCTGGCAGATATGCGAGAAACCTAACTAAATGCAAAAAATAAATAAAATAATATTTTATTTAAATATTTTAAATAAAAATATATTGCTGTATCAAAGGTATTTCTATGATCTTGTTGAACCATTACTTTTCACAGAAATTGTTACTGTCAATATTTAGTTTTTTAATTAAAAAAAAAATTATTTTAAAATGTAGAATTATGCAATGAGCTATTATAATATGTACTTTATTATAATAATAATAATTGGCTTTATCGTAATTGCGTCTTTTTTCAGTAAATGTCAAATAAGTCAAAGGATACTGAGCTTAAAAATTGACAGTGCATTTGTGAAATATGCATATACTGACATTGTTGCTCAAAAATATGTATGATACCAGATGAACCAGACTGTATTAAAACCAAAATAATAGAGAAGCTCTTCTTAAAATAAAGAGGTTGCGAATTGCCCAGTGACAACAGGCCAATTCAGAACAAGGGGTTATTTTGCATGTAGATGTTACTCAAAAATATCTTGCTCTATTCCAAATATTTACATGGTTTTGTTGAACCATTTTTTTTCACAGCTCTGTCAATATGCTGCAATGATAATTATATATAAAATTATGAATTTTGGACCAGGAAAATGACATTGGCTTTCATCCCTGTTGTGTCCTATCATATTAAACAATGCTTTTTAGCATGCTTTTCATCGACCTATTGCATAGGATACTGCAATTGGTCAATGAAAAGCATGCTAAAAAGTGATTAGTAAATGGTAGCTCAGGTATAATGTGCCGTGTGTACTGCATAAATGAGATTTACTTCAGAAGCAAAAGAGAATTGCTAATGCATGACTGCAGTCTGGTTTAAACCCAGAGACGGCTAACTGATGGTGCATAAAGCTTATGTCTAATCCTCCACAAGGGGAGTATCAGTTGACGTACGCAGAACATATAGCACTCACTGCGTGTTTATGGGTCATTACAGGGCTGTATGTGTTTCTTGATGTGAAGGATTACATATATTAAAGATTGGTATCATGTTGTAGATGACACACATGCCTGTTTACTTCTGTCTGCAGATTTGCATATGCGGAATGCAGCTTTCAATACTAATGTTCGGGCCAGCTGGGCCAACAGCGTCTGAAAATCAGATAGGAAATTAAAAGAAAGATCAACAGATATCAAGTAGCATCTCTGTACCAGGATGCCACATGTCTCAAAGCCAGCGGCCTTTTTCGTGTTATTCGTACAGCCAAAATTGGCTGAATTCTGACTGGCATTCCGCGAAAGGATCACTTAGTTATACGAGCTGCATTTCGAAACTGAGGACGATTGTAATCACATTACATTTTGTTGGCACTCTCTCTCTCTTTTCTCCCTTTTTTCTATTTGTCCGTTGAAGACTTAAGCGTTCCCCTTTGATGGGTTGGTCCATCTGGAGGATCACTCGATCTGCTATGGACTGAGGCACTATGGTGCTGGAGGCGAGATTAATCTGGCAGTGGTTTGTACTGACCGATCATGTGGATTAGCACATGCAACAATCCCAGCCTGCCCTGCCCCACAGACAGCTGGTTTAAAGACCGCCCACTAGCCAAACATCAACCAGCGATTACCAGCTCAATGTCATAGCCTCGGGAACTTTGATAGAAAAGCACTATTAATAAAATCAACACTGGAAAGGGGTGATTTATTCATTTTTTTAAAAGGAGTAGTTCACTTTAAAAATAAACATGTTGTTGCACTATGACTATGACTTTCTTCTGTGAATACAGATGGAGATATTTTTATGATTTTTTTTGAAGGATTAAAAGTCATATGGGTTTGGAACAACATGAGTGTGTAAATAATAACAAAAACATTATTAATTTATTCATTTTTTTAATCAACTGTACATTTAAAGAACATTTTGTTATAATCATTGTTCCAACCCTTTTTTCTGTGGAACATGAAATGATATATTTCTCTGAATTTTTAGAGGATAAAAAGTCGTATGGGTTCGAAACAACGTGAGGATGTGAAAATAAAAACGATAAAAAAGAAAATTATTTGTTTATTTATTATGAACATTTTGTCCTCATTATTTATGTTGTTTCAAACCTTTAAGACTTTCATCTATGGAACACAAAAAGAGATATTTTTATGAATTTTAAGAGGATAAATTTGTGTAAATAATAAGAGAAAATTCTTAATTTTGTATTTATTTATTTTTTGATGAACTATCTCTTTAATGAACGTTTGTTGTAATCATTATGTCCTTCTAAACCACTATGACTTACTTTCTTCTGTGGAACATAAAAAGAAAATACTTTTAACAGTTTTTAGATAAAAAAATCATATTGGTTTGAAACGACATGAGAGAGTATAAATAATAATTTTTTATTTGTTTTTTGTATTTTAAGAAAATGAATTTTAAGAGAATAAAAAGTCATATTGGTTTGGAACAACATGAGAGTGTGTAAATAATAAGAGAATTTTCATTCATTCATTCAACTATGCCTTTACGAATATTTTGTCATAATCATTACATTGTTCCTAACCTTTATTACTTTCTTTCTTCTGTGGAACCCAAAAGGAGATATTTTTATTGAAAATTTTATTAAAATTATAATAATTAAAAAATTATTATATTATTTATTTAACAATATTTATTTATTGATTGATGAACTATCCCTTTAATGATATCCAGTTGATACAGAGATCTTTGCATTTGTTTTTAATGGGAAAAGCACAAATATCCAAGTGGTAACTACAACTGAGAAATAGGACAGCTGAACTCAAGGTCATTCTAATGGTTTCAGACTCAAACTGACAGCAGGGGGTTGATTAGTTTGGACAAATTGATTTTACCTAGGAGCTGTGTCCTTATTTAGACTTATTTGTGTGATATGAAAAGCCTTGATGGTACATGACAGGGAAATTGACAGGATGGTCCAGTGAGTGTTGCATGGCAATAGTTTACTTATGAGGATTTGGATTACATAAGCGAATTCGTAAAAGTCATCTCTGGTTATTTATCAATAGGACTCAAATGCGTTTTCTGCAGCATATAAAGTAATGCTTGTGCTTTTCCTGAAGGGCTTTTATGAGTGATACATTAAGTGATATGTAATGGCAAGTTTCAGTCAGTGTCGGTATCATTTTGAGCATCAAAGATTAATCTACCATTTTCAGTAATCTCTTCGGATTACTAGGACTAGGAGTGACGATGGGACACACTGGAAATCTCGTTTTGAATCTGTCTGGTGTTCCTACATCATCCCCGTCCATATGTACAGGCCTGCCTCCTGCCCATTTACCTAAATGTCTTACCTTCTGAGTGACAGATAGCCCTATTACACTAATCCTGGCAAAGAGCAAGGGTTTAGATTTGCTACAAAAGACCTTACAAGCGCAGCTCCATGTAGGATATCAAAGCTGCAGTTCCGGTTGAAGGCCCTTCCTTTGAGAGCTAGCATTCCTTACAATCCGTCAGATGTCAAAGCAGCTGCTAAGCCTTTTGTGAACCGATCTGGTGGAAAGCAAACAGATCCAGATCTGGCCGTGAGGACGTATTTAATGATGCTCACAGAAGTCTTAGCGAACACCCTGCTAATTGCGACTGGTATGAAGCTGCCAGAATCCAGTAAACAATGAGTAATATGAAAAATTAATGCATGGCATATGCAGAAGAGGTCATATAGCAGTGGGATGGAGAAGATGGTGTAATTCAATTGACAAACACAGTTGTATATGTTGTAGACATGTTTTGTCTTTTGCAGGTCCTGCTATTCCAGTGGGAGTTGATGTACAAGTGGAAAGCTTGGACAGTATTTCAGAAGTTGACATGGTAGGTAATCCCAAACAGTTGCTTTTCACATAACATCCTCAGCTATTTGATTCTAAATTATTGAACATATGAGCACACATTAAACAGTTAAATATGAAATTAACAAAACAAGAAATTATATTTTGCATGACTTGAATTTTTTGCTTACATTTAAATATTAAAAAAATATATTTTTTTATGCTATTTAAATAAAATAAAAACAAAGCCAGTAAAACAGTACCATGATGTAAAATGTTTTGCAATTGAAATAACTTTTTTAAATTCATTTATCTATTCGTTCATTCATTTATTAATAATAATTAGAATTTTGGGATTAGTAGTCATGAAAATCTACTATGCAAAAATAAAAAAGTCCTAAAAATAGGTTTCATTTTCTATGCAAAGTTGAATTTAAATATAGTAAAATAATACAGAAAAATATATATATATATATATAATTTCTTTCTTTCAATTTTGATGAAGAATTACCTGTACATGATCTTCACAAGTTTTGTAAGAATCAATTTCATAAAGGCCCGTTCACACCAAGGACGATAACTATAAAGATAACGATAAAGATATAGTTCTAAAAATCGTTCTCAATATTAAAGAATAGCAGAGTCCACACCACAACTATAACGATAAAGTCAAAGAGAAACTATATCGTTGGAATCACTTTCAAAGCGATTTTTTCCTAGCTGATGAACGATAAAAAATTGATAGCCAATCAGAATCCTTCCTACTGTAACGAGCTCGAGAATTTAAAGCGACAGACGAGCGTGCGCTTAGAATAAACAGACGATATCATTCGCTGCACGCTAATATCTCTATCTTTATAGTTATCGTTCTTGGTGTGAACAGGGCTTAATTCTCTTGCTTTTTGCCCATTTATTACTGGCTGTTTTGCAGTTACTAAATCCCACAAGGGTATTCCTAAAAAGAGCTGCTGCATCTCTGATGGTAGAAACTTTGATCATGCATCTTCTTTTTACTTCTGTTTTAACAGAATATGACACCCATTCTGGCATTCCATTCTCATGTTTTGGATTTCCCTCTTGGTAGAAGCCTTTGTGCGATGCAACAAAGAAACTGTGTGGTTCTTTTATTGACCATATATAATTACTGGCCACATGAGATTTTATGGTAATATAACCAAAAGAAAGAATAGAGAAAGGATGATCTGCTTGAGCGGTTTAGAGAGGCATTTGGAGGATCAAGAGTTACATCAGCGTTCTATTTAAACAAACTGCAAAGAAAAGACTTAAGGAATCGTTGTAAGGAAAAGATGTGAAGTTGGTTTTGTACTTGCTGCAGCGAAAAACAGTTGTCACTCCCAGAACTTTACAGTGTGTACATTGCCTGTATTTATAAAGTAAATAAGTGAATCTCACAAAACCTTTGAAGAACATGGTCTTATTTCACCCCAAAATAAAAAGAAAGAAACCACATTTTGCTTAGAAAATAAAGCCAGCATAATGTTTTTATCACTGGGCATTACATTTATGACAATCATATCCCCTTCTCTCAATTCTCATTACTGTAAAGCAAAGAAAATCCCAATCCTATCACTATGATGAAAAAAACTATGTTATGTATTATTCATATCATCATTTACTCACCCTCATGTTGTTGCGAACATAAAGACTTCCTTCCTTGGATCACAAAAGAAGAATTTCTGAAGAATGTGGTTACTCTTTTGATTGCAATGACAAAGAATATAGCTTTCAAGCTTCAAAAGGAAAAAGTGGTTCCTATGACTTGTGCGCTATGTTCTTCTGCCTTCAGAGGCCTGAACTCTGAAGATTTGGGATATTCCACACAAGTCGTATGAACCACTTTTATGGTACTTCAAAAAGGACACAGAAGCTCTAGTCTCATTTTTGTGACATAAACAGTCTCCAAATGTCTGCTTTTGTGTCCCAAGGAAAAAGAAAGTCATACAGGTTTGGAATAACTTGAGGGTGAGCATGAACAAAACATGAGCAAACAACATGAGTAAATGATGACAGAATTTTTATTTTTGGTAGAACTATTCCTTTTTTCTTTCACATCACATACATGAGAATCAAATATTCTTTACCTCACAGTAAGAGGCTTGTTTATTTGGCATGAGAATAATGTCCCAATACTAAAAATCCTAATGGTCCTTTATTTTATTAATGCCAAATATTATTTCTTTTTTTCTTCTTCTGATTTTGGGGTTAAATGTGACAGGTTTTCATGAGATTAACCCGAATATACACTACTGTTCTCAAGTTTGGGGTCAGTAAGATTTTTGAAAAGAAGTTTTTTTCACCAAGGCTGCAATTATTTGATAGAAATACAGTAAAAAAAAATTACATTTTAAATGCCTGTTTTCTATTTGAACTTATTTTCAGATGTAATTAATTTCTGTGATGGTAAAGCTGAATTTTCAGCAGCCAGTACTTCAGTCTTCAGTGTCACGTGATCCTTCAGAAATCTTTCTAATGTGCTGATTTGGAGCTCAGGAAACATTTCTTATTATTATCACTGTTGAAAACGGTAGTGCTTTTTAATATTTTTGTGGAAACTGTGATAGAGTTTTTTCAGGATTCTTTGAAGAAAAGGATGTTTAAAAGAACATAATTTATTTGAAATAGAAATGTTTGTAACATTATAAATTACTGTCACATTTGATCAATTGAATGCATCCTTGCTGAATAAAAGTATTACTTTCTTTAAAAAAAAAAAACATACCCAAACTTTTGAACAGTTCAGAAAACAAGAATGGTAGAGCCTCCTTTAAAAATCAGTGAGCTTTAACTAAATATTGTAAAAACCCTTCTTGAAAATATTTTTTTCTCCTCCATCTGTGTAGGATTTTACTATAACATTATACCTGAGACACTACTGGAAGGATGAGCGCTTGTCTTTCGCCAGCACCACAAATAAAAGCATGACTTTCGACGGGCGCTTGGTGAAGAAGATCTGGGTTCCTGATGTCTTCTTCGTCCACTCTAAAAGATCTTTTATTCATGACACCACCACAGAAAATATCATGCTGAGAGTGTTCCCTGATGGTCACGTTCTTTACAGCCTGAGGTAAAAAAGCAGATTATCTACACCGGCCTTTCTGACTTTTAAGTGAGCCATTATAATTCCAATTAAATGTAAGTTATGTATATATGTACAGAGTTTAAATGTATTTATGTAAATGTATTTATAATTATAATTCCTGTTTAGTTTGTACAATGTAAGAAAAAGTTAATATTTTTTCAGTTGTTCAGCAGTTACTACATTTCACCTCCAAGCAACTCAACTACTGAATGTGGTTTCGTTTAAATGGGGTTCGAAAACAAAAGCACATCGCTTAAGCATTTGCATATTGCTGCGGTGTTAAAATTAGAATGACGCTTCTGGCCTGTGATGTTTTTGCTGTGTCTTTTGTGCTGCAAGTTAAAAATTAGGCCAAGCTACCTGCGTGCAGGCTATAATCGAGGGCTAGTGCGGCGTTCAAAGTCAAATTTCATACACTGTTCTGGCTCCAGGGAAACTGTCATTATTGATGGGACTAGCCCAGATTATTTCCATTGTACGACAAATGATGGACAGCACTACAGAGAACAGAGGAGAAAAATACAGCGAGAAAAATGAAACGGCCTTAGTGTCGGTTCAGTAAATGGCGCTAGTATGCCTTCTTGACTAGCATTACTAAGCACATTTACATTACATTTACATTTTTATTCTTAGCAGGAGCTTTCTTACCAAAGCTACTGTCATTCCAAGCCCATATGACTTTCTCTTTTCTGTGGAACTCCAAAGGAGATGCTTAGCAGAATGTCCAAGCTGCTCTTTTACATCCATTGTGACAATCTTCCCCCCAAAAAAGTTAGCTTTAACTCAAAGAAAATTATGACAGAAGTATATTACTATTGTGTGCTAAAATGTACTTTTCAAAGTAATAATATTATTTTTAATGAATATTGGACAACCAATATATTTTTTCATCCATGTTTTAATTTATGCAGTTCTGTTGTGCTGCATCTTATTTGATAAAAAATGCAATGTTTTGTTGTACATGTTATGTTTTCATTTGATTACATTTTAAAATATTGATTACATTGTTAGTTAGTTTCATTAGACACCATTTTTGATGATACGTTTGTATTAAATCATAAAACACAGAATCCAGAGAAAATAAAATGTGATATCGATATTTATTTCTGATAAATATCGATATCATATGATATGGAAAAGTATTGTGATAATATTTTTGGCCATATTGCCCAGCCCCACAAGTCATACAGGTTTGGACATGAAGGTGAGTAAATAGAAGAAATTCATTTGAAACCGCATATGCAAATTCCATGGATTTTGGGTTCGAAAAGTGAATAAAGCAGGCGCCTGTGAGGAATATGATGAAATATAAAGATCTAAGACGGTGGGTTTTTGTATTTTAATCCGTGTTATACATGGTTCTTGTGCCCAGGGTCACGGTTACAGCAGCCTGCAACATGGACTTCAGCCGTTTCCCGCTGGATTCACAGACCTGCACTTTGGAGTTGGAGAGCTGTGAGTGAATCATTAATTTGTGTTATTTTTAGTGTGACACATGCTCAATCCACTCTGCCAAGTTAGTTTTTCCTGAAATGGATCCTTTTTTTCTAGACGCCTACACGGATGAGGATCTGATGCTGTACTGGAAAAGTGGAGATGAGTCTTTGAGTATAGATGACAAAATCTCTCTCTCTCAGTTCCTCATTCAGAAGTTTCACACTACCTCTCGGCTGGCTTTCTACAGCAGCACAGGTATTGGGGGATTATTTGTCAAGTTGATTTATTTCAAGTAGTGTGGCCCCAAGACGGATTTGGACACTTAAGTCACACTTAAATTTGTATGAATGTTATTGCATTAAATATCAAAGCAAGTGGCATCTGCAAGCATATGATGCTTTCCTCAGAACTAACTTGGCTTCTCTGAGCTGGTTTTGCAGTGACATTTAACCAACTGGTGCCACTGGTTCATCAGATTGTGTTTAACAACCACAATGTGTTCTAATTTTGGACAATGTGTAAATATTTGAATAATTTACAGTCTAACAAATATATTTTTGTGAAATATTTAGCTTGAAAAGTGTGCTTGTGCTGTCTTGCTTTAAAATATACTACCGTTCAAAAGTTTAGGGTGAGTACGATTTTTGATAGATATTAATAAATTAAAGATATTTATAATGTCACAAAAGATTTCTAGTTCACAATAATTAATCAAAGAATTCTAAAAAGAAGTATGCAGAGTAGCACAACTGTTTTTAACATTGATGATAGTAATAAGAAATGTTTCTTGAGAACCAAATCAGCATATTAAAATGATTTCTGAAGGATTATGAGACACTGGAGACTGGAGTAATGGTAATTAAAACAGAAAACAGTTATTATAAATTGTAATTTGGTCAAATAAACGCAGCCTTGAGAGACTTCTTTCAAAAACATTTTAAAAAATCTTATCAACCCCAAACTTTTGAATGGTAGTGTAAATGTCATTTGTTTACATTTTTAAGTGTGGCTAAATTGTTCACTAGGTTTATATTTGACTCCATCTGCATTTTTATCTCTTTCTCACTTTAGGATGGTACAACCGCCTGTATATAAACTTTACGCTTCACCGCCACATCTTCTTCTTCCTGCTGCAGACTTATTTCCCAGCCACACTTATGGTTATGTTGTCATGGGTGTCGTTCTGGATTGATCGCAGGGCTGTTCCAGCCAGAGTTTCATTAGGTAAGATTATCACAAATTTTCATTTTTGCCTCAGGTGTCATTGTTACTTCCTATGTCAAGTCACGCACCTGCAGATCTTAACAGGATGTGCTGATTTTATCAAGGTATCACCACGGTGCTGACCATGTCCACCATCATCACTGGGGTGAACGCCTCCATGCCCAGAGTCTCCTACATCAAAGCTGTGGACATTTACCTGTGGGTCAGTTTTGTGTTTGTGTTCCTGTCCGTCTTGGAGTATGCAGCAGTCAACTATCTGACCACGGTCCAGGAGAGGAGAGAGCGTAAGCTCAGAGATCGAGCAGTTAGAGAGCAGGTAAAAAAAATAGAAGTGGTTAAATAAACAATACACACCAAAATAATTTTTTTTTCCAATTATGCAGTTTTCTCTCATCACTCTATTAAGGGTTGAGTAATGTTGATAAGATAGTCAGCCATCAGCTAAATAACGCCAGCTGATAATTTGCCCTTGCTAATGATCTCTTCTCTTTGTACTCTGTTCTCCCTGGGTGCCAAACTCAACCTGTTCCAGTCATTGCCCTGCACCTGCGGTATGTCCCACACCAGGACCATGATGTTAGATGGGACCTACAGCGAGGCTGACACCAACAGCTTGGCTGGCTACACAGAAGCTCCCATGGTTCCTGAGGATGTGGTGCCAGAGAAACAGGAGCACATGGTGGTTCACCTGTCAATGAGCAGCGAGTCCACCATCACCAAGAAAAAGGGCATCCGCGCCTTACGCATTATGCAGAACACGCATGCCATTGATAAGTACTCCCGCATGATCTTCCCGGGAGCCTATATAATTTTTAATATTATTTACTGGTCGGTGTATTGCTGATCGTTCTCCAGCTACATCCATCTTTTACTCTTTTTTTGGACTTATGGCGGTTTTATACAACCATCCTTGACTTTTTGATGCACATCAAACATTGGCTCATGTGAGACCAGATTGCAGTTACCTTTGTCCCTTTTCATGCGCAAAAAGACTGAGAGAAAGAGGGTTGTCTGTGCCAGTTGAGTGCTTCTTATAGGCCTTTTCAGGTTTATGACAAATTAACTGTAAAACACTTATCAGACTTTGTACGGGCTTATGTGTTTTCTCTTCATGTTTGCGTCATTGGACTATTAAGTATGTAAAGAGCAAGAAAGTCTGGTGTTAGCTTCTCTTTTAAAAGTGTACTAATACATTTTTTCCACTGTTTTATAGCTAAAAAAATTATTAGTTTTAACAAATATGTTTTACACTCACATGAGATCCAGTCATATCATTTGCCTATAAAATACAGATGTAAATGCATAATGTGGGTTTCACCCTCATAGGGTCCGCTATGTTGAGATCACAGGATTAGCTGTGTTGTGCAATTTAACAATAAGTTTAGATATTTATTTATTTATATAGCATATATTTATACAGTTTTGCAGTGCTCAAGGTGCTCTTCAAAATTAAACAAAACGGACATAAAACAAACCAAATACAATATAAATATTAAAGACACAACTTAACAAAGTTCCTAAAGTTAACATACAAAAATAATCTATGAAAAAGAACAGAAATAAGAAATTAAACAGCTCTGATGTAAAGTGGCAGTGGTTAATAAAATGTAATGCATTCACAAATTATTTAGTGCACCTTTAAGTCTGTCTGCTTATCTGCACAATGTCCAGTTTTATTTCATTTAGGCAAGACAGTTTGTTTACTCATACTCATTACTCACTCATGTTAATATATTGTAATTACCAGTAACAAGAAAGAATATTCCTTCAGTTAGAGGTTTATTTGGATGTGTGTGTGTGTGTGTGTGTGTGTGTTTGAGAGTGTATTTGAAAGTGTATTTGATACCATTATATCTCTTATGCAAAATAAATCTGTATGTCTTTACTGTGGCTCATCTTCATGCATGTTAGTTTTATTGATTACACAATATTATATCAGTTATACTACAACCTGAATTTGCCATTATACCTTATAAGATTTGAGTAAAAAGCTTGTTCATGTGGGCAGTCAGTGCAGGCAAAAGTTTAGTTTGTGATTCAATGGTCTTGAATACAATTTGAAGCTGCTTTGCGTGCAACATCAAACACTGAAGGCGATGGTTCATTTTGGTGGGATGATTTTAGTGCACATGCAGGCATCACATGCAAAATGTTCAAATACCTCTTACTGTAAATGAAAAAACTGTGAGCTCTATGATGTGCTTGAAGTTCATGTTTACACCGTATTTGAAAGATCATCATGGAAACAGTACCACTTCATAAGATGTTTCTGTAATTGTTGAAATGTTAAGAATGTAATGTTGACCAGAATAAGGTGCACTAATTAAACATTTGTAAAATATATTATGTATATAGACCTACGCATATTTTGTATTTTTAAAATGCAGTGCAGATGCATACAGGTGAAGGTTATTGTTGTTTCATTACATTATCACTGTTGAAGTGACCTGTCCTAGATTATAGCTTAATAGATTATATTAAAATATTAAAGTGAAGAAAATAAGGAATACACCTTTTAAAAATCATTACTGTGTCCTGAGTCCTTACAGAAGGCAGAATTTAATTTTAAAATATATAGTATCTCTTTTAGGTTTCACAGCTGAGTCCCTACTTTTTGTCAACACGATGGAATATTTATGAAAGCATTTAAAAATCAGGCAATAATACAGTTAGCCTTCATCTTGAATGTCATTTTTTATGAGTTCAACCAGAGCCGTTGAGAGAGATCTCTTCTGCTGCGTCTCTACAGCGCTGAAAACAAAGAAGCTACTTCATTATTCGTGTGATATTTATATTATGTTTTTTTAATGAACACTAAGATTTTCTGTTTGATTGTGGTGAGTTCAGTAGATTCAATAGATTCAGTGAGGTGATGCTAGATATGCATATTTATGTTGTATCTGAGTGATGCTGGGAAAAACATACATTAGGTGTGTTAAACTCTTAACGTTACTTTTAAACGGCTAATCAAAAATTCCTCAATTTTTGCGATTTTACCTCCCGAGGGAGGTTTATCGGTGAGAGATATTTATGAGTTCATTTATTAATTATTTTTTTATTACATTTATTTTTTTTAATTTCTAACTATTTCATAACACAATTTAAAAAAAAAAAGTATTCGCCCGCCCTAACGGTCAGTAAAGCCCGCTCTATTTTTGAATTATTCTGGCGCGCGCGGTCACGTGCTCTCATCGGTGACTCGGCGGATGCGTTGCTTCTGCCTGATCTCGACCAGCCCAAGCAACTGACAGGCCTGCATTGACTTCCTGACGGATCACTGTAACTTTGTAGCCCGAGGAGCAACTTAAGGTCATTTATTATCATAAATACTCACATCAGATGCACATATATCCGTAAGTACGACCACTTTATCGATTGTTTAAGGTCTGTGTACACCGTCATTTCTGTGTAACGTTAGCTGCATTGCTGGGCTGTTACTTTTTGAACACAAAGTTTAACGTTACAGCTTATAAAGTGTAACACGGTGGGATTTCATGTACTTAACTGTGTCTACATGCTTCATTCGAGGCAGTAATCCTCCATATTTTGTTGTTTCGCTAAATATGTTTCTTTAAGGTTGCATTTATATGATATACAGAGTCAGGCAGAGAATATATGTATGCAAATCAGCGTATAATCGTGTAAAGGAGGACGTGGGGTTGTTTTGGTTGGGACTTGTCGTGATTGTGTTTCTAACAGTGTTAAACTGGACAGATAAGAGATGTAAGTAGATGTAATATAACATTTAATTTAAGCCATAACGTTATATTTTCCTTTGGACCTGGATGTTCAGTGTAAGTTACTTCCCTTTATTTAATCACTATATGGTGTGTGTGTGTGTGTATATATATATATATATATATATATATATATATATATATATATAATATATATATATACACCATATACGGTTACTGCATAACCGTCAAGGCCAAACCAATGGCAGTAGGGGATTACAGTGTTCTCCAGATGTATTGTTTGTGTATTTTCATATGAAAAGGGTTATGGGAATGTCAGTGAAGGGAATGCTGTTGGAGATATGACTCATGCAGGAAAGTGGCTTGTAATCCTTTTTAGGGCGCCCTCTCTGTAAAGAATAAAAAAGGACATATTTGGCTCTGCTTTTCATTCAATCTCTTGTTTTGAAAGAACATATGTAGCCATAAGGAATTGTGTTTCATGCCTCTTAGAAAGTTATGCAGCATTGCCATTGCCAGTGTGCAGGGTTTGGTGGGAACATTGTGCTGTAAGGTGGAGTGGTTTGGTGGTTACTAATATTGGCTGGTAACCAAAAGGTGTTTGGTTCAAACCAGCTGCCAGGGGTGATTCATGAACTGTCACAGTTTGTGAGCACAGCAAGCCTGCCAAATTCACGTAATTACTACAGTTTGTTGTTACTACTATAAAAGCGTCTTAATATGGGATCTCCTTCCAACAGGGTAAGATACTGTCTAGGGATGCACCGGAAAAAAAATTCTTGGCCAAAACCTAAAAGGCTTAGATTCATTGTGTAAGACTTTTTCCATTCATTCCAACTTAATAATTTGAATGATACTGAATTTAAAAAACACAAGGCAATAAAATAACCACACTTTTATTGAAAGTAACACAATGTAGTTGGACAGAAAATATATTAATATTAAATAGCAATATATTATTTTCATTCAGTTTTATGCAACTGAATAAGATATAACTCTTTTTTTCTCTCTCTCTCTTTTGACTAATTATCCAATTAATGCATAGTCCTACAAAGCTATGATTATCAGAGCATGTGAGCAGAGCATAGTGGGGAGCAGATCAGTGAACGAGAGGGTAGCGTCATTTTACCAGCGTTGCCCACCATGTTACAGCACAGTAGCTCTATTGCAAACAGTAAACGTCCTGTCGGCATGTTATCTGAGCGGACTTTGCTTAACAGTATATTTAAAATAACTATTTTTATATAAATGAAAGTGTCATTTATTCCTGTGATGGTAAAGCTGAATTTTCAGCAGCCAGTCTTCAGTTATCAATTAATCCTTCAGAAATCAATATGCTCATTTAGTGCGCTAGTGCTTTTTAAATGATCATCTATGTTGAAAACAGTTGTGCTGCTTAATATTTTTATGAAAACCGTGGTAATTTTTTCCATGAATATTTGATAGGAAGTTAAAAAAAAACATAATTCATTTGAAACAGAAAACTTTTGTAAGATTATAAATGTCTTTGCTGTCAATTTAAAACAATTTAATAAAAGTAAATCTTACCAACCCCAAACCTTTGAATGGTAGTATATATAAATAGGAGAAATCATAATGCTAGTCATCACTTTTTTGTTGGGTTCATCACAGTGCTCAAAATAGCAGCTGTAGGAATGGAAAGTCCCACCTTTTAGTTAAAAGAGGCAATCCCCGGTTTGTTTACTCCAGAACATACATGTGCATTAGCTGGCCAACCTGGCTGAAAATTACTTATGTTTGGCAGATTTAGAGCTAAAGAAACACAATTTATTATACCATTGTTATTCAAGCTATATTCCAGATTTGAAATGTTATTGATGCTTTGCTAATGCTATGTTTTCACCATTGAAGTAGACAGAGCTGCACTTGCATGACTGTAAATAGTTGCCCAAGGGTGATACCAGTGAACAGACTTGCCTTAAAGGTACTTTGGATTTGCCAGTTGAGCTCCAGAGACACTTTGGATAAAAGAATCTGCTTTAAGTGTATAAGAGGAATGTGTGGTAAAGGCTTGTCTTTTCTAAATTCACAGCTGTTTTGGAATTTAGCAAATGTGGTCCCTATGTTTTTGCATTAGGTCAGCCTTAACCTAATGACCCAGCAAGAGCAGCATGAGTTCAGGGAAAGTTTGGCGGAAGCCCTGTCCTGGATGCAGGCCGTCCAGGAGAAACTTAAACAAAACGACAACACCCAAGGACCCAGATCAGCGCTGGAGGTCAGGCTCCGAGAGACAGAGGTGAGACCTTCCCTGACCTTTGACCTATTGAGGGCATAGTGGCACTGAAATAGAACCATCTTAGTTTCTCAAATGTATCTCATATTTACTAAAAAAAATCATAAGAGTTTCATAAGAGACACTGTAAAAAAATTCTGTAGTTTTTACAAAATAATTTTGGCAGCTGTGGTTGCCAGAATAATTTTGTAAAAAAAAATATATATAGAAAAACTGTAAACACATTTACAGAACAAACTGTAAATTCTACTGTATAAAACTAATTTACAAACAAGAAAATTGGAATGTAAACCAGTAAAATCAACAAATCACACTGCCACTAAAATCTGTTTTGTACCTTTAACATATACTGACAAGTGACAACCACCATAATAATTCAGGTGGTAAAAGAGAAAGCCACATAAAGAATCAAATTTCATCACAAGTAGCTTTTTCACAAGCTGAGGTATACTAATATACAGAAGGTGCACAGAGTCATTCATGCAAATACAAAACACCATCATGGTAACACACGACTCCTAAATAATGCAATAAACATTCATTAAACAACAGAAAATGTAACAAAACCCTAATGTACTGATAACTAAAACTATTAAGAAATGTGATTATTTAAACAAAATACTTTCAAATGTGGAATGTCACGCAGGGAATTCTGGGAATATCAGTTTACGGTTAAGACTGTAAATTATACATTGATTTGTTCTTTTTTACTTCTAAAAACTGTACAATTTTAAAATAGCATTTTACAGTTTTTCTTTGTATATAGTACTGGAACTTACTGTTATTAACAGGGTTTTTTTCTGTAGCATTTTTACAATATTTTACAGTTAAATATACACTTGTTTTTTTTACAGTGGATATCTCATCAATTTAAAGTAGGGCTGTGCAAAAAATCTATGCGATTTTCATGCTCATCTCGTCAGTAAAGCCGGTTCTGTGATTAGTAGTAAATCTCCAGCAAGTGCTTTCAGGTGGAGTGGCATTTACTACACAGAGCTGTAGTTCACTGACAAGCCACGCAAAATCGTAGGCGATTCATTGCCGATTATGAACGCGATTTTGTGTAGCTTATCAGTGATCTACGGCTCTATGTAGTAAATGGCGCTCCATCTGAAAGCACGTGCTGGAGATTTACTACTAATCACAGAACCGGCTTTACTGACGAGATGCGCATGAAAATCGCATTCGATTATTTGCACAGCCTTAATTTAAAGTCTAATTAATTTAAATTTTCCATTAAGCAAGATTTTTCTATGTTGTAAAGAAAATTCATAGCTCAGAGCCCGAAGGCCATGTGAAGATGGACAGGGTGTTGGTGGCTTCTGAAGCTCTGCTTCGAAATGGAGATGAAGAGATGAAGAATCAGACTCTTTCGAAACTCAAAGATATAAAAGCACTCTGGGAGGAGACGTTAACCTACATCATTCATTGTCACAGGTACAGGATTTGTCCATACATATAAGGGTGTATTACTATATTAAAAGCATTTGCGTATATTGACATTTGCGTTATCACTGTAGCGCTATATTACTACAACCATTGCGGGGAATTGACAATAATTTTGGATAGTTTACCTTTATCTGTCTGTCTGTCTATCTATGAAAATCTTTGCCTAGGACAGTTATATTTTATTTATATTAATTGATTAAGCCATCATTATACAAAAATATTTGACCAATCAGAATCAGACCGAACCATGGAAATGCTTTGAATTCTTATATCTGAATATGTATTTATTTATTTGATTATTTTTCGTGCCCCTCTGACAGTCGTATCGAGTGGGTGTGGCTGCACTGGAGTGAATACTTGAAGGCCCATGAGGAGTTTGGGATGTGGATAGAGAAGATGCACAGGGCTCTGGAGCCCCTGCTTGAGATGCAGCTGGGTCTCAAAGAGAAGCTGTGGCAGGTGGATCATCTGCGGGTCCTTCACAGTGATATTCAATCCCAGGCTCAGTTTCTGAAGAGGCTCCTGGATGAGGCTACAGCCCTGTTCAACCGCACTGAAGATCCTAGTGTAGATGAGAAGGCTCAGCAGGGTCTTAAAGATGCTTACAACCACATTCAAGAACAAGCACAGGTAAAACTTGAGTTTTCTTTTCTTATCATTGACAACCACACAGCGAGAATAAATGTGTGTGTTTAGTCATTTCAGAATGCTTTAGTTTTGAGGGTATTAAGGTAATGCCTTTGTTCTACACTAAAATGCTGAATTTAAAGAATTTGAAAACCTTTCAAGCTGTATTGTATTGTTAATGTTTTATAAGGTTGTTCAGCATGTTAAATAAGTCAAAACAGTCTTTTGATCTTCTATCTTCAAATTTTTTTGCACTTACTCATGAAAGTCATTCAAAAAAATCTAGTCTCAATAAGTTACCGTTGTTCTTCAGTTCTCCGCTGCTGTCACTGACAGGTTGTAGCTTGTGTTACTCTTTCATAGTTATTATGAAAGAATGAACTATTAGGGGCCTCTAGATATTAGTGAAAATTGCACTACCTTTCAAAAGTTTTGGGTAAGCAAAATTTTTCTATTGTTTTTTGAATGTCTCTTATGCATTTATTTGATCAAAAATACAGTAAAAACAGTTATATAGTGAAAGATTATTGCCATTTAAAATAACCGTTTGCTATTTTAATACTAAACGGCATTTATTTGAAATAGAAAAGTTGTAACATTGTTTTACTGTCACTTTTGTCCAATTTAATGCATCCTTGCTGAATGGTAGTGTATAATTAGTTATTTAACCTATATTACTATTCTTAATGCATAATTAATTTATTGCTGTTATCTGCAGAATTAATTAAAGGGGTCATATGATGCTTTTTTAAAGAGCATTATTTTGTGTATTTGGTGTAACAGAATATGTTGAAATGCTTTAATGTTCAAAAAACACATTATTTTTCAAATACTGTACATTATTGTAGGTCCTCTATGCCCCGCCTCTCTCAAACGCTTTGTTTTCTACAAAGTCCCTCCTTCCGACAAGCGCAGTCTGCTCTGATTGGCCAGGTGACCCAGTGCATTGTGATTGGTCGAACACCGCAAGCACTCGTCGGAAATGTAACGCCCCTTACCATAATCGCGAGCTTCATCTTTCAAAATAAATGTAAAGACAGAGTCCGAAAGGGGAACAGAGTCACGTGACAGACACAGTAATGAAGCTGGTATGTGTTTGCAGTACACAAGCCACGGTTAAGACAGCTGACTCCACTGTGATGTGACCCCGTCTCTCTCTCTCTTCTCTGTCTCTTTCTCTCTCACACACACACACACACACACACACACACACGCTCACACACACACTCACACACATGATGCGCAAAACTCGGCATTTGAACAGTCAATAGCAAATACTTAAACTAATAACAAAACAGTAGCTGATTCAGAAGCGCCAGATTGTCATAGCAAAGTCAGAATTACCTCCTCTCCTAGGTTCACGAAACGGTCGTTCATAAAATGCATTGCTGTTCTGTTGTAAGTAATCTTAAAGATTCCTAAATGCATCTACTTTCGGAAGGCCAAATAAAGTGCTTTTGCTTTCGTCTAGAAACACACAGCGTTTCCCTGACTTGGCGGCTTCAACACTAACAACACTTTGCGTGCACATTTGGGCGGCATTATGCTAATATTTCCACATAGTGAGGTAGATATGTGGGGGCGTGTTAGAACGAGCCGTTTTAGGGGGATGTGGCAGAGTCTTAACTTTGATAAAGAATATCTCTTTGATTTTAAGACTTTAGTCTTTGCAACTTCAAGGATCTTATCTATTCACAATCAGCTTGTAACACTCCAAAGAGAAAGGAAAACTTGAAATCGCATCATATGACCCCTTTAAGATAATCTAATTGAAAATAGTACTATGTCAGAGATATGACCTTTTTTTTTTTTTATATAAATGCATGCAGGAAAGATTAACATTGGCACAAAAAATAGCAGAGGAGCACCAGCAGTACCAAAGTTGCATTGATAAGTTTCAAAGCTGGCTGATGTCTAAAACAGAAGATGTCAGCCGTTTCAGCGACATGGAGGATACGACACAAAATAGGCTGAAAGCCCTGCAGGTACAATTACCTACTTATTTGGGGGAGGGAAGGTCAGAATGGTTAACTGGGAACATTTTTGGAAGTCAAACTGTGGAGAAGTCATTCCAGCAAGTTTAGCACTTGCTAATTTGCGGCCTCATTTTCACTTCACTAGTATATTAAAGGGTTCATAAGAAAAATCTGATTACTATGTCTAGTATTACGTAAACGTGATGTAACTGGCAGAACCTCAGTTAATTAAAACATGTATTGCAACTTCAGATGTCTAAAATGTTTTGTGATGTCATGATTGTTAGTAAATATTAATAATGATGAGTAAACACCAATTCGGTGTTAAGTACCTGGCAAGGTAATAAAGTAGGATAAATACCTTATATTAATACTTATATATTAACATAATACTATATATATATATATATATATTGTACTGCAATATACTCCAGTTTGTTAATAAAACCGCACACCCTCTACAATGCGAGTAAATCACTCGCATATGCGACAAAATTTCCATGCTAGGCGACAAAGTAATGTCTATCGTTAGCCATTGGCTAATAAATTGTTCGATTTCATTCACCAGTTTTTGAAGTAGAGGCTACTTATAAGTTTAACACTTGCCTTCACTCATTTTGAGCACTGCACTCTTGAGAGTTTCACTCTCTATCTTTAAAGCTCAATATTTAAATTCTTCTCAATGGATGCGCAGTGTGTTTGACGCATCATAAACTCTAGTGTGAAGGCACCCGACTAGCTGTAGCTTAGCTGAGAGCGCTCAGTGTTTCTCTCATACATGCAAAGAGAGGGACAGCAAAACAGTCTTACCACATAGAATTGATGCGCTACAGGTGAATTATATTCTTTGTTGTATTTTCTGTCAAAACAGAACAGTTCATTTGGAATGGACTACTTGCACAACTACTTTCACGTTCTACTTAGTGCAGCTCGGGAGTTTCCGGTCAGCGTTTAGCACACTTACATACAGACAGTTTCTCATGAGAAAGCAGATTATTACTAAGTTTTAGGACTGGTAATTTTTTTAAAACAATTAATATATTCTCTGCGTTAACATGAATTATCTTCAACCTGCTGAAATGTTCCTATAAATATAGTTCCCTTCCAAATGTGCATTTTGAATAATAAATACATTTCCCCACTAACCTGCCTAGTCCAGCGCTTGTCTTCTCATTAACAATATTTTTCTCTTACTGATCATATTTCATACCTGTTGAATTTACAGTATTAAATGAATTTGACTGATAAACACACTTACGAAACCATGGTTTTACTATAGTAAAAGTGTAGTAACTATGGTAAAAAGTAAGTTTTTTTTTTTTTTTTTGTAGATTACCATTTGTATAACCACAATTTTACTACAAATACCATGGTTAAACTATGGTTAGTGTGGTAAAACCCTGGTTAATTTGTGGTTACTATAGTTTAATTACAATTGCAAATTTTATTTGTAGTAAAACAATGACAAATTTTCATAAGCGCAGTATTGCTTTTGTGCGTTGGTGTTCTTATTCCAATGGCTGAATGAATGTGCGGTAACATTTAATTAATTTTAAACAGTAACGCATTGACAGTGCGACTACTTTGACTATTCATATTTTGGCATTACATATAGTGAAATGATTGTGAATTAAAAATGACACAGAATAGTGACTAACATATTTCAAACAGATAAATAAAGGTTCGTTCTGATTGTATTCATCCGATCTCACACACACTGCAGCGTAGCTATTAGTAGGGCTGGGCGATATGGGCAAAAATTAATATCTCTGTATTTTTTTAGCCGATTTGCGATATACGGTATATATCTCTGTATTTTCGATTAGTATTTTTTTATTTTTAAAAAATCTGTATTTTATTTATATATATATATATTTCACTTACCGTGCAATGTTGTCCAACAAAACAATACATATTAAAGGCTATGAAAACAAGTAAAGTGAATGCAACCATGTAAGCCTTTATATTATGTGCAAAAAAGGGTTAAAATCACATTTCATTCTAACATTGTTACATTGCAATCTAAAAACTAAAATAAGGCTTTTAAAGCGGAAGTTAAATTCACTAAACTAAAAATGAAAATAAATGAGAACAAAAACACAGAGTTGTGTTAGGCTATTTTGACATTTATAGTCAGTGCTATCATAAAAATAGACTTACTTGTAGGTTTAAAAATCTACATGTAACATTTATTGTCCAACTACAAATATTTCAGCAAAATGTATATTTTAGTCAGAATTATTCTGCCCTTATTTAATTGAGCTCTGTCTGTTTGGCACGCATGTGTGCGGCGGCACTTGTTCACTGAAGTCTGTGAAGTTTAGCAGAGAATCCCAAAGCAGAAGGCTCATGCACTTCTGTTCTGACAAAAAAATATATATATATATTTCTATGGCTTTCTAACATTTACAGATGGAGAATATACCTGTGAAATGTAAGTTATGCATTCAGGAAGACAGCACATCTCAAAAACATTAAACAGCGCGAGTAGCCTATGTCTCTGTCAGCGGCACACACAGCCTTTCTGTCAGAGCATATGACAGGCCGAGCCGCTCAAACTAATATGCGAAACAAAGTTATAAACTATGTCTTACCAGTTTTTAAAGGCCTCCCTCCGAAACACCAGGGGGCCCCCTTGCTCTCAAAGATTATTTAATTTTAGTTTCGTTTTTGAATTTGGCCAGTGGTTATGAAAACCACTTATGTCATTTCTTTTAATGCGTGCGCTGTCGCCCTTTCTACGTAAAAATCAGTCAAATCATGTAACGGGAATGTCATACAGTGTCTTACTCGAGACAAAAAAAAAACAAGTTGAAAGCGAACCGAGCCGCAGAAGGGACAACAATTCTAAGGCGTTTCATTCATTCATAACTCGTCATTCCCCCCCCCCCCCCCCCTCTATATATATAATATATATATATATATATACTGTATATATATATAATTTACTAGCCAATGGTGATTCCATTGCCATGGTGTATGTAGAGGGTTGAATGGTCTCACCAGAATTAATAAAACTATGATCTGACAACTCCACTCTGAGATGTTCACATCCTTGGACTCATTTTTGTTTCCATAGCAATGCTTAACACGCTAAAAAGGTTCCATGACTTTGTTGTTGACAGGAAGGTACTGTATCACTTTTTTTTCATCTATTAATTAATCTATTATTCCATATTAAAGAAGAATAAAATCAGCTGTAATAAAATTTGTCAAGCTATCCTCTCTGATTGTCTCTATCCTATGCATTTTTTTTTACCACAGTCGTGTTTAACTTGAACACTGGGGGATTAAGAAATTTATTTTTCTGTAAAACTGCTTTGAAACAATGTGTAATTTGAAAATTGCTATACCGATAAACTTGACGTGACTTTCACTGTTGATTATGTGGCCATTTTGCATGTATTTTTATATGACAATGGTCAGAGTTTGACAAAGACGTGAACAGTTGCAATTGATAGCGCCGCATATGGCTGCCTCGGTGTGGAGCTCTTCCATTTTTTTGCTGTTTTTGTTTGTTTGTTTGTTCTGTGTTTGGTCATTCTTTTACTATCAGTTTTACCAGACACGAAGTACTGGACATAAGGCAACACACACCAGACCAAATTTTTCTGGTTTTTGATTATTCAGACACTTTGTTGGATGTTCTACTCTGAGGGGCAGTGGTCCTATTCAAATGCGCACTCAGACGGAATCGAGGGAAGCATGTCGGCGTGCTGGTTAAGCTCCGTGAACGCGACTTCTGAACAGCGCTTCCTAGTATCCATCTAGCGAATCTCCAATCCCTTCCTAACAAAACGGATGAACTACTACTCCTCAAACAAGGACTTTTCAAAATCTACTGCATTGTGCTTCACTGAAACCTGGCTAAGTGAAGCTATTCCAGATAAAACATTACATCTGCCGGGCTTCCAGCTGTTCAGCAACGGTACTCAGACTCTTTTAATCATTCTTGGGGATTTTAATAATGCAAATCTCTCCTGTGAACTGCCAAATCACAGATCTAGTTCATCTTATACCGACCTACAAGCAGAAACTGAAATCAGCTAAACCTGTAATAAGGACTGTAAAAAGATGGACTAATGATCTAACTAACGTCATACATCAATTTCTGTGAGGACATTCTTATCATTCAATAATGATAAACCATGGTTTACTGGGAAACTTTGTCACGCCAAAGAGGATGCTTTCAGCCAACGACCCGGCAACAGTCTGAACAGGCCTGAGGAACATCACCAAGTACAAGACACCACCCTTTAGTCTGTGGAGAATCAAGAACTGGCTGACGATCTGAATGTCTTTTACTGCCAATTGCGAAAAGCCCAGTCTCACACCCCACACCCGCTCTGATCTGCACTTCACACATCCACCTACCCCCCCTGCAACCCATCTCCCTCCCTCTCCTACCATTCAACCTGCGCTTAAGGTATGTGTAGAGGATGTGAACCGGGTCTTCAGAAAACAGAAGACTAGAAAAGCTTCAGGCCCAGACGGTGTTTTACCTGCCTGTCTAAAAGTCTGTGCTGACCAACTGGCCCCCATTTTCACACAGATCTTCAACAGATCTCTGGAGCAGTGTGAAGTTCCCTGCTGCTTTAAATGCCCCACTATCATTCCGGTCCCCCAAAAAAACAAAATCACTGGACTTAATGATTACAGACCTGTTGCTCTCACGTCTGTGGTCATGAAGTTTGAGAGACTGGTCTTGGCCTACCTGAAGAACATCACTGGACACTTGCTGGATCCTCTTCAGTTTGCGTACAGAGCAAACAGGTCTGGGACATGTCAACATGGGACTGCATTACATCCTGCAACACCTCGACAGACCTGGGAATTATGCAAGGATCTTATTTGTTCAGCCTTCAATACGATCATGCCTGATCCTCTCTCAGCTAAAACTGACCCAGCTCTCCATGCCCACCTCCATCTGTCAGTGGATCACCAGCTTCCTGACAGACAGGCAGCAACTAAAAGACGTGAACAGTTGCAATTGATAGCGCCGCATATGGCTGCCTCGGTGTGGAGCTCTTCCATTTTTTTGCTGTTTTTGTTTGTTTGTTTGTTTGTTCTGTGTTTGGTCATTCTTTTACTATCAGTTTTACCAGACACGAAGTACTGGACATAAGGCAACACACACCAGACCAAATTTTTCTGGTTTTTGATTATTCAGACACTTTGTTGGATGTTCTACTCTGAGGGGCAGTGGTCCTATTCAAATGCGCACTCAGACGGAATCGAGGGAAGCATGTCGGCGTGCTGGTTAAGCTCCGTGAACGCGACTTCTGAACAGCGCTTCCTAGTATCCATCTAGCGAATCTCCAATCCCTTCCTAACAAAACGGATGAACTACTACTCCTCAAACAAGGACTTTTCAAAATCTACTGCATTGTGCTTCACTGAAACCTGGCTAAGTGAAGCTATTCCAGATAAAACATTACATCTGCCGGGCTTCCAGCTGTTCAGCAACGGTACTCAGACTCTTTTAATCATTCTTGGGGATTTTAATAATGCAAATCTCTCCTGTGAACTGCCAAATCACAGATCTAGTTCATCTTATACCGACCTACAAGCAGAAACTGAAATCAGCTAAACCTGTAATAAGGACTGTAAAAAGATGGACTAATGATCTAACTAACGTCATACATCAATTTCTGTGAGGACATTCTTATCATTCAATAATGATAAACCATGGTTTACTGGGAAACTTTGTCACACCAAAGAGGATGCTTTCAGCCAACGACCCGGCAACAGTCTGAACAGGCCTGAGGAACATCACCAAGTACAAGACACCACCCTTTAGTCTGTGGAGAATCAAGAACTGGCTGACGATCTGAATGTCTTTTACTGCCAATTGCGAAAAGCCCAGTCTCACACCCCACACCCGCTCTGATCTGCACTTCACACATCCACCTACCCCCCCTGCAACCCATCTCCCTCCCTCTCCTACCATTCAACCTGCGCTTAAGGTATGTGTAGAGGATGTGAACCGGGTCTTCAGAAAACAGAAGACTAGAAAAGCTTCAGGCCCAGACGGTGTTTTACCTGCCTGTCTAAAAGTCTGTGCTGACCAACTGGCCCCCATTTTCACACAGATCTTCAACAGATCTCTGGAGCAGTGTGAAGTTCCCTGCTGCTTTAAATGCCCCACTATCATTCCGGTCCCCCAAAAAAACAAAATCACTGGACTTAATGATTACAGACCTGTTGCTCTCACGTCTGTGGTCATGAAGTTTGAGAGACTGGTCTTGGCCTACCTGAAGAACATCACTGGACACTTGCTGGATCCTCTTCAGTTTGCGTACAGAGCAAACAGGTCTGGGACATGTCAACATGGGACTGCATTACATCCTGCAACACCTCGACAGACCTGGGAATTATGCAAGGATCTTATTTGTTCAGCCTTCAATACGATCATGCCTGATCCTCTCTCAGCTAAAACTGACCCAGCTCTCCATGCCCACCTCCATCTGTCAGTGGATCACCAGCTTCCTGACAGACAGGCAGCAACTAGTGAGGTTGGGGAAACTCATATCCAGGACCCTCACTATCAGCACTGGTGCCCCTCAGGGATGTGTGCTCTCCCCACTGCTATTCTCCCTGTATACAAATGACTGCACCTCTAAAAACCCCTCTATCAAGCTCAGTCATCGGCCTCATCCAGGGCGGTGAGAAGTCTGCTTACAGACAAGGCTGTCTGGTGCAGCCTTAAAGGTTTAGTTCACCCAAAAATGAAAATTCTGTCATTAATTACTCACCCTCGTGTTGTTCCAAATAGGCCTGTCGCGATAATTAAATAACCGTCTAATCGCGATTATTTGATCTGAAACAACCGCGATTATTGTGCTTTACGACACAAGGGGGAGTCATACACCAAAAGAAACAGAAGAGCACCAGTTTGCTTTTCATGCACTGTATAGCCTATACAGGGCTCCAGACTCATTCTTCCCACTGGTCGCTCTTTTGCAAATAACTTTCTCAGCTGGTCGCACGAGCACATGATTTGGTCGCAATATTCTTTTTATTTTTTTTTTGCGCTACAACATGGGATTATTCAATGCATGCTGATGAACTTTTATCATAGTTTTTAGATATGGAAACAAAAGTGGTTAACATTCAACCCGTTCTTTATCATCAGTAGTATTATTTGTGATTTGAATTTTGTGAATGGGAGTTTCTCTTTTGCTGTGTTAAGCCACGGGCTTCGGATGCTTTCACTTTCGAATTCGCGATCTTGTTGTCACTGTTTTGCTTACATACATCTATACACCTTTTAATTTTTTTAAGACTAAAACAAAAGATGGATTCATTGTTATTCTTAATTAAAAAGCACAACAACAATAAATCAGTAAGATACAATGACAAATTAGCTTACAAAACGTTTATTAACAAAAACGAATAAGATGAGGACACACCACATGCTGTATTATATAGCCTACCGACTAATAAATTACAGAATGTTTAGCAAACACTGAGGAATCAAATAAATAAATAAATAAAAGAGAGCCTCCATAGCGTAATGTGAGGTAAACAGCAAAGATAAGTTGTTCAAAAATGAAAAACAAAGAGAAAAGTAAAACTAACGGTGAGGGTGCTTGCATGTTTTCCCCCCCACAAGAATACCAGCATGTTCACCTTCTCTGGTTTAAGAAGCGGTCTTTTACTTGACTTTAACTTGAAAACCATTCATTGTTTCCTCAATATGCCCGTCATTTTTGCTGCGCGCACCTTTGCGCTCGTGCTGACACGGCGAGTATTCTCTCTAAGCGCTGTTTCGTTATGCTTTCAGTTTCATTTGATGTTTCTCATATGCAACAGAAATTGCAGCGCTTATGAGTTGACCAACGCAGTGGTCGCGCCAGTGCAACCGCACACAAAATTTAGTCGCACAGGCAGAAAAAATGGTCGCAGACTGGAGCCCTGCTATATCTTCTAAAGCCATTCCATATCTTAATGTGAGGGACAGAATTCAGGTTTACAGAAACTCGTGTTCCTTCTGCTGCAACTGTCAGTCATTCTCCGCTCAGCATTCAAACAGCACGTCACGTTCAGTGATGACAGTCAGTACAGCAAAACTCTCTCTCCAAGATGATATATTTCCATTATAATACTTTAAGTTAAGGAAGGAAGGAATTATCACAAACAGAAAAATTATTAGAAGCCTTTCTTTTTCTCATGATTTCTATCTTATATTCATGAATGTATTTTGTAAGAATACAAATAGTTAACAGAATAAACATGTTTAAATTGTATAATGGGATAAATTATACAGTCAGCTAGTTTAATTTCATAGCTTATATATTTTTATTCAGATGTAGTTTTTCTCTGTAATGAGGACGTGAGTATTTATTGGATTGCGTTTAACAAAGGGTTTAAAAGAGTGACCATTAGTTCCACAAACACAGTATTGATATTCTGTAGTGGTGTAGAAAAAATAGCGCTGGTGTTGGATCGGTATTGGCCAATTCTTAGAATTTGGAGTACTCTATGTAATCTTACACTGCACAATAATAACTCGAAAAGATTATGCTAGCAGTGGTGAAAGAGTACCAGAGGTGAGCAGCAACCACACACATGCAAAGAGCCTCTGGCAAAGGAGGAATGAGGCGAGGAGAAATACTTTGATGGATATTTTATTAATCATTAGCTATTGATAATGTCGTTGGTAAACATTCTGTCATGCAGACACAATTGGAGGCTCGTCATGTAGGTTTCCGTCCTCATTGTGTTACTGTCAGCGTGATGTCACTTACACAAGTCTAGTCAGCTGTAAACAACGTGTATCCTAAAAGAGTGCCAATGTAAGCACTTCAAACAATTAGTGCATTGCACACAGGATTTACTGCATTTCTTTATTCATTAGTTTTGTGGCAGCCATCTGTTGAAAGCTCTGTAAGCTCATACTGTATAGGACTACTAAGTAGAGTTGTTTTGTGTTTCCTGTTGCAGTGTGAAAGGCAGATCTTTCAGGCTGTCCTCTGAGAGCGAGATGGCTCTTCGGCAGATACTGCAGGATCCTCTGTATGGCTTCAGCCAGTGGAGTCAGGTGGTTTCTCAGGTCCTGGAGGCCTCCGCTGAGGTGACAGATTTCTCCCAAATCGCTCTGCTCGTGCAGCATATTGAGGTAAATTATATACACCTTCAAGTAGCTTTCAACAAAAGGTTTTATTCTTGTGCAAAGAGGTGGAGTAAAAAAATTGTCCCTCTAGATACACTACAATTCAAAAGTGTGGGTTAGTAAGATTTTTTATGGCTCATATGGTAATCATTTTATTTGTGCTGGTCTTAAATTTTATTTAAAAAAGTCTGCAGATACCCTGAATTAAATGCTAATCATTTGAACTTTGTTTCATCAAAGAATCCTGGAGAAAAAAAAACATGTCATGGTTTTCACAAAAATATTGAGCAGCACAATGGTTTTCAACTTTAATAATAACTAAATCAGCAACTTCGAATGATTTCTGAAGGAACACGTGATACTGAAGACTGACGTAATGACTGCTGAAAATTCAGCTTTGCCATCACAAGAATAAATTGCATTTTAAAATAGAAAACTCATGGTAAATTGTAATAATATTTCACAAGATTACTGCTTTTACTGTATTTTGATCAAATAAATTCAGCTTTGATGAGCATAACAGACTTCTTTCAAAAACATAAAAAATCACAAAACTTTGAACAGTAGTGTGTAAATAATGTGATGCATGATGCATATTTACACTCTTATTTAGTAAAGAACTGTATGTGAATCAAATATTTAACAGGACTTTTTTCCTGCTAGTATGGCCCCTTCCAAAATGGTCAAATAAACAAATTAATTAAAAATAAATTAAGATTTTTTTTTTTATAAGATTATTTGCAATAATAGCTGGAAGCTGTATATAGTTATGTAACTCGATAGATTTAAATTCATAAACATACTTGCTGTTAAATGAGGGCATACAGCGCAAAACGATTTCTAATTTATTTCAAATTTTTTAGCCCATTCTAAGTAGGGGTGGAACGGTTCAACTTTCTCACGGTTCGGCTTGTATCACGGTTTTAGAGTCACGGTTTCGGTACGGTTCTGTATGTGCTATGTTTAGGGAAAAACTATACTGTCAAATAAAAATAAAGAAAATAAGAATAATCGATCTAACTACAAGCAACAGCACAAATACATACAAAAGAGTTGAGGCGAGGAGAAATACTTTGATGGATATTTTATTAATCATTAGCTATTGATAATGTCGTTGGTAAACATTCTGTCATGCAGACACAATTGGAGGCTCGTCATGTAGGTTTCCGTCCTCATTGTGTTACTGTCAGCGTGATGTCACTTACACAAGTCTAGTCAGCTGTAAACAACGTGTATCCTAAAAGAGTGCCAATGTAAGCACTTCAAACAATTAGTGCATTGCACACAGGATTTACTGCATTTCTTTATTCATTAGTTTTGTGGCAGCCATCTGTTGAAAGCTCTGTAAGCTCATACTGTATAGGACTACTAAGTAGAGTTGTTTTGTGTTTCCTGTTGCAGTGTGAAAGGCAGATCTTTCAGGCTGTCCTCTGAGAGCGAGATGGCTCTTCGGCAGATACTGCAGGATCCTCTGTATGGCTTCAGCCAGTGGAGTCAGGTGGTTTCTCAGGTCCTGGAGGCCTCCGCTGAGGTGACAGATTTCTCCCAAATCGCTCTGCTCGTGCAGCATATTGAGGTAAATTATATACACCTTCAAGTAGCTTTCAACAAAAGGTTTTATTCTTGTGCAAAGAGGTGGAGTAAAAAAATTGTCCCTCTAGATACACTACAATTCAAAAGTGTGGGTTAGTAAGATTTTTTATGGCTCATATGGTAATCATTTTATTTGTGCTGGTCTTAAATTTTATTTAAAAAAGTCTGCAGATACCCTGAATTAAATGCTAATCATTTGAACTTTGTTTCATCAAAGAATCCTGGAGAAAAAAAAACATGTCATGGTTTTCACAAAAATATTGAGCAGCACAATGGTTTTCAACTTTAATAATAACTAAATCAGCAACTTCGAATGATTTCTGAAGGAACACGTGATACTGAAGACTGACGTAATGACTGCTGAAAATTCAGCTTTGCCATCACAAGAATAAATTGCATTTTAAAATAGAAAACTCATGGTAAATTGTAATAATATTTCACAAGATTACTGCTTTTACTGTATTTTGATCAAATAAATTCAGCTTTGATGAGCATAACAGACTTCTTTCAAAAACATAAAAAATCACAAAACTTTGAACAGTAGTGTGTAAATAATGTGATGCATGATGCATATTTACACTCTTATTTAGTAAAGAACTGTATGTGAATCAAATATTTAACAGGACTTTTTTCCTGCTAGTATGGCCCCTTCCAAAATGGTCAAATAAACAAATTAATTAAAAATAAATTAAGATTTTTTTTTTTATAAGATTATTTGCAATAATAGCTGGAAGCTGTATATAGTTATGTAACTCGATAGATTTAAATTCATAAACATACTTGCTGTTAAATGAGGGCATACAGCGCAAAACGATTTCTAATTTATTTCAAATTTTTTAGCCCATTCTAAGTAGGGGTGGAACGGTTCAACTTTCTCACGGTTCGGCTTGTATCACGGTTTTAGAGTCACGGTTTCGGTACGGTTCTGTATGTGCTATGTTTAGGGAAAAACTATACTGTCAAATAAAAATAAAGAAAATAAGAATAATCGATCTAACTACAAGCAACAGCACAAATACATACAAAAGAGTAAAGATATAAATAAAATAAACAGTGATTTCAGTTTTTTTTTTTTTTGATAGGTCTAACATTATTTTTTAGGTACAGGAATTGAATAAAGTAATGAAATGTAAAACAGCATTGCATATTTGACTGTATAAATTAAAGATTAATCTTTATTAAAGTTACAAAATCTATTCAATCAAGAGCAGTGAGTGATTTCTTTGTTGTTGCCGTTTTAAGAAATTGCTGTCACTTTAAGACACTGTAAGTACGTTCAGCCGGCTATGTCTGCTATAGGATACTTAACAAGATGGGCATTTTGACATAATTTTTGTGTGAATTTGTCCATTTAAATACAATACTTCAGAGAGAGCTTAATATTGGCACAGGTTTGCGCGCTTCGGATGAGCGCACGCACAAATATTCTCACTACGCGCGCGAGCTCGTGTCCTCTGGCTCTTAAAAGTTTAAACTGGCAAAGCTTACATGAGTTACACTCTGAATTAGGGATGTCAACGATTAATCGATGATCGATTAATTGTCGATAAGAGATGCAATCGATTAAAGCTATCATGGTCGATTAAGTCATTTAATTTTGGACTGCGTGCGGCTCATGCGCAAAACACGTGCGAGCGGCTGTGAGTAACAGTGACGGTATATAAATGCATCATCATTCACTCATAATTACAAATTAAGCTTTTAATGTGATTTAAACTTTAAAAGTAAATTAAAATAGAAACAACACAAAGTTCTTCAACATGGAATGGAATACAATAGAAATGTAGTAACAGTCATTTCCCCAGATAATTGTTTCATATTTGAAATGTAGGCTATATGGGCTCAAACGGCATCCAAAAGCATGGTTGCGATGTAAGGTTTTCCAGCTAACCAAATATTCCTCCAATAAACAAAACTTTTATACCACACTTGTCATAATCAGAGCTTATGGCAAAGCTTACATGAGTTACACTCTGAATTAGGGATGTCAACGATTAATCGATGATCGATTAATTGTCGATAAGAGATGCAATCGATTAAAGCTATCATGGTCGATTAAGTCATTTAATTTTGGACTGCGTGCGGCTCATGCGCAAAACACGTGCGAGCGGCTGTGAGTAACAGTGACGGTATATAAATGCATCATCATTCACTCATAATTACAAATTAAGCTTTTAATGTGATTTAAACTTTAAAAGTAAATTAAAATAGAAACAACACAAAGTTCTTCAACATGGAATGGAATACAATAGAAATGTAGTAACAGTCATTTCCCCAGATAATTGTTTCATATTTGAAATGTAGGCTATATGGGCTCAAACGGCATCCAAAAGCATGGTTGCGATGTAAGGTTTTCCAGCTAACCAAATATTCCTCCAATAAACAAAACTTTTATACCACACTTGTCATAATCAGAGCTTATAATTTGTAAATAAATAATTGCTGGATTCAAAACAGCAATTAAAAGTCGCTGTGACCGACACTGACAACACATTTTCCTGGAGCATTCAATGATGTCACTAAACGGTGATGCCACAACTTCAAGCATCGTTCACGAGTTTCTGCATAGACCTAACTAGCCTAGAGCACAGGTTTTCAAGCCCTGGGACAAAATGGGATGCTTTAAGGAAAATGTATAGCATATGTAAGTAATAGGCCTAAAATAAAAATAACAGTTTTCATTTAAAAAAAAAGCAGATTTAAAACAGAAGTGTGACACGGTGCTCCATAAACAAGTTCACGGAATGGAAAGGATGACAACGCGCGTTCTGTTTGTTTGCTTTATTTAGCAAAAGCACAAATCTGTTTTTTATTGTGTGAGTGTGCAAAAATAAAAGTAAACACTTTTGCGGATTATATCTTAGGCCTACTCCAAAAATGGAGTGTGTGCACCTCACGCGCACACACCCCACATATTCTAGCAATTCAAACTTACATCGCAGTCTGTTCATTATCAAAATAAATGCAGTCAACCAAACATATAAAAGGTTACACTGGTCAGTTTAAATAGACCGTAGTATACCGGTCCACTCTGCTCTTATGCCAAGGACTTTTTTACTCGTGAAGAGGATGATGTTTTCCGTCTATATGCGAATGAGTGTAAAGTACAAGCCTAGTTTACATTATAAATAATAGTTTAACATTCAAATACATTGCAAATATGGAAACATTTGGATTTGTGCCGAATGAGACGTGAGTAATAAGCTCCAAATACATCTAGCCAAACCCACGCTCGAGCCGTCTCGTACACGCACGCATGCACTGTCACGATCTAATGCACTGTAAATGCCGGATTTTTAAAAACCTGCCGCAACGCAAAAATTCAAAATCGGACATTTTCCGGAACAGGATCCAGCAGGATCAAATTAAGTACTGGTCATAATACTCGCATTATAATGTTTGATGTGAGCAACAGTGTGTTTTGCTGCAGAAGCGCCGATGGAAGCGGTTCACTGACTGCGCAGCACTGCCACACGCGCCACAGTTACGTTTGGGATCATTTTATTTTAAATGCCATAATGTCAGTTGAAAACATTGCAATAGTGTTTTAAAATACAATAACGGGCACCACGAAACCATTTAAAGAGGCGTGTTCAGCGGTCTCCGTGTCGGGATAGGAAACAGTCAACAAAGTAAAATGATCTTAAACGTACGGCGCGCTCTCTTCGTTTGATCAAATGATCATATTAATCACACTTATTCATTTTACAATCCTGCTACTAGCATTTTATTCAGACTAAAACCCCTTTAATTCGGGTGAGAAAGCTGGGGTTTTTTTGAGTGGCTTTTGCACATACTGTCATGCCGGTGACTGCGTGCTGCTGCAATAGACGCATTTTGCTGCATTAAAGTTAACGATTAATTGATCGTTAACTTAAACGACGATCGATCATGGAAATGATCGAAAATTGACATCCCTACTCTGAATGTTGTGATATTTTCCCGTTCAGCATTTTTGACACCTGATTTACACTGTTTTGAGAAAATAAAGATTATAGATCCAGTTTATGCTACAATCTGTTGTGGATATGATCATATTGTTTTTAAGCATTTGCAGTTCTTTTTGCCTTAATTCTGTGTTAATGCTTTGTTCTCTTTGTAGTTATTGAGTGTGCTCTTTCTTCTTTTGTTTTCTTCTTTGTAGAAGTTACTTAAAAACAGTGTGCAGCTCCAGGAGCGCTTGAGTTTGCTCCAGGTGAAGAGTGATCTGCTCAGCTCAGTTTTTGGCCAAGAAAAAGCTGATGATCTGTTGCAAGAGCTCAGAGGGGATGTGAGGAAGAGAGAGTTACTCCACAGCAATCTCCTAGAGTGCAAGAACCACCTGCAGGTACCCCGCCAGCAACAGCTTAAAATTTTACTGCTGTATGTACAGACTGTAAATGCCTGAGCTACATCAATTCTCTTTACCCCGCCATTAGCCATAACATGCATAGTCTCGCATAACAGAAAATGTGGGCAACGTTAAAGGTGTCATATGATTTTTCCTTTCTCTTTGGAGTGTTACAAGCTCTTTGTGCATAAAGAAGATCTGTAAAGTTGCAAAAACTAAAGTCTCAAATTCTCAAAGTTAAGAGTCAACCACACCTACCTAAAACAGCTCGTTCTAACACGCCCCCACATGTCTACGTCACGATGTGGGAAGATTTGCATAACGCCGCCCAAATGTTCACGCAAAGAAAGAAGGCGTAACTTTTATTCTCGCTGTAGTATTGTTGTTGCCGCCGCCGCCGCCATGTCGTGAAGGCGCTGTGTGTTTCATTGTGAAAGTGAAACTACTTTGTTTGGCCTTCCAAAAGAGGACGATATCTGCTTCGTCATGCCTGGAGCTGATCCGTGCTGGTCGCTGAGGAAATACATCAACTTCACGCTGTCGATCGCCGGTTCGGCTTTCACCGTGCACGAAGCGGAGTCCAGCCCGGGGTCGTCACATGTGGTTGCCGCAAGCCAGCCGGCCGCTCCTTCGTCAAATACCCGCTGTGTGTGACGCTGTGTGTTTCGTTGTGAAAGCGAAACTACTTTGTTTGGTCTTCCAAAAGAGGACACGACTAGAAATCAGTGGTTAAGTTGTATTTACTTACAACACTGTTCCAGAACAGTTCAACCCAAATATTCAGATGTGTGCAGCGCATTTTATGGAGGACTGTTTCCTGATCCTAGTAGAGTAGACTACAGTGCCAGCTGTTCTGACTCACAGACTGTAAGTAAGTTTTTTATATTGAAAGAATTTGCCACTGACGATGCAAACGCGAGTTTTGAGCAGTGTAGAGTAGTGCTTTTTGTTTGTCATTTCTCTGATCACAAATGCAGTCATGGTTTTATGTTTACGCGGCGCGATGCAATGCAACGCGTAAAAAGACAGTATAAATCAATATAATCCGTAATTATGTCCCCACTGGATGCAACAAATGCCTCGTTTATAATGGGTTTTAATGTTTTTGTCTCGTCGCTCCGGCCGGGACACGGCATCACAGTATGGTATGGGCGTAACATTTCTGTCACACGCTTGAGGTATTCGACCAATCACAATGCACTGGATAGCTGGCCAATCAGAGCACACCTCACTTTTCAGACCGATGAGCTTTGTAAAAATCGACGCGTTTCAGAAAGGCGGGGCATAGAGGAGAAACAATAATGTACAGTATGTGGAAAATAATGTGTTTTTTGAACCTTCAACCGCATAAACCCATTTCATTACACCAAATACACAAAATAATGTTCTTTTTAGCAACGTCATATGACCCCTTTAATACATATCATGTCCGGCAGAAAAAAAAGACGCCCTGTTTATTTGTCTAAATGTATGCAGGGAAATTTTTTTAAATTTTTTTTATTTTTTAAAGTTACTTTATTCTTCATTAAATACCAATCCTTTAGGTGTTGTTTTAAATCAATAAGACTTGTTTTTCTTCATTAAATTATTATTCAGTAGCTTCTATATCACTTTCTCATAAATAGTTTGTTAAATGTTTTATTGTTTTTATTTTATTTTCAGATTATCTTGATATAAATGTATTCTTGTATCACCCACTGATATCTTATTTTATTTTATTTTCAGATCATCATGATATAAATGTTTTCTTATATCACCCACCTGATAAATTATTTTGTTTAAGTTATTTAATTTTCAGATTCCGATTATTATGTTATAAATGTATTGTTATATCACCCATTGATAGATTTGTTTATTTTATTTTCAGATTATCATGATATATATATATTCTTATATTGTCCACTGATAGATTAGTTTATTTTATTTTTGTTTTATATTTTATTCTCAGATTCTCATGATATAATGAATACTTATATCACCCACTGATAGATTAGTTTATTTTATTTTTGTTTTATATTTTATTTTCAGATTCTCATGATATAATGAATACTTATATCACCCACTGATAGATTATTTTATTTTATTTTCAGATTACCATGATATAAATATGTTCTTATATTGCCCACTAATAGAAATCTGTTCTGTCTGGCATTAGTAATAAAAATTAAAAATAGCGTTTTACAGTATTTCAAAAGGGATGCTGATCCCTGTCTTAAACTTTATACATATTGTCTAAACATCCCAAACCATGTGGTATCCTATGAATGCCCTTAGGGTTTGATATCAAAGACAAAGGACTTTTCTGACGCCTATGACTCCATACACAAAAAACTGACCTCCATAAAGGAGAGGTTCATCATGACGGATGGACTTCAACCTGATATTCTTACCAAGAAGACCCAGGCTGACCAACTCAGGGTGAGCAGCAGAGGATATAGCTGTTTCCGACTTCAAAAATGTTTTGCTTTTTGAGCTTCTTTTTAAACAGCTGTTTTGGTTTTAATCTCTGCATGTGGTATGCTGTAGATGTACAGTGACTTTTGATTAGATCGTCTTGCGGCACACACTAAAAGAGTCATGTGAATAATTTAAGGAGCTAGGTGTTATGTCACGCTGAGCTCAATGTGTTTGCGCTGGTTGATCAGAGTGGCTTGTCCGGGTGTGAGCGGGAAAGACTCGCTAGTGGCATACTGAATGTAAAATGAGTGTGCATCTTTCTGCAGGTCATTAGAAAGGACTTGGAAGATTGTGAAGCCCATATCATAGCTCTCGAGACGCTGGTGTCATCCAGCCCTGCAAACAGGACAAAGTTTGAGCGTCTGTATGCGGACTGGAAATTGTTTTATAAGGCAGTTCGGGTGAGATTTGTTCTGCTCAAGATTCTTCGAATTCCTTGTCTATGGTTGTAAATTTATTTCAAATTGTAGTTCATCCAAAAATGAAAAATCTGTCATCAATTAGTAACCCTCATATTGTTCCAAAGTCTCTTTTGCTCACTCACTAAGACTGTATTTTAGTGCTGTCAAACGATTAATCGCGATTAATCATCCAAAATAAAAGTTTTTGTTTACATAATATATGTGTGTATACTGTGTATATTTATTATGTATATATAAATACACACATATACATAGTATATATATATTTTAAATATATCCATGTATTTCCATGTATATATTTATATTCATATAATTTATATTGTATATAAATATTTTAAATGTATAAACAACATATTTTTCTAAAATATATACATGCATGTGTGTGTATTTATATATACATAATAAATATACACATTACACACACATACATTATGTAAGCAAAAACTTTTATTTTGAAAGCAATTAATCGCGATTAATCGTTTGACAGCACTACTGCATTTATTTTATCAAAAGTACAATAAAAACAGTGATATTGTAAGATATTATTACAGTTTAAAATGACTATGAATGTTATCTGTTTTAATTCTTTTAAAATGTAATTTATACCTGTGATGGTAAAGCTGAATTTTCAGAAACCATTACTCCAGTATTCAGTGTCACATGATCCTTCAGAAATCATTCTAATATATTCTAATATGGGGTTCAAGAGACATTTCTTATTATTATTAGCATTGAAAACTGTTTTTACTGTTCGATGTTTTTGTGGAAACCATGATACATTTTTTTCATGATTTGTAGATGTATAGAATGTTCAAAAGAGCAGCATTTAATCGAATTAGAATTATTTTTAAATGGATTTGTTTTCATGGAAATGATTCTATGGGACAATCAATCAAAAAGATTTGTTACGGAATTTACAAAAGGGTGTCTAGGAATAAACATGAGAAAGCTTTTCTCAGAAGTGTAGTCTAGTCTAAATTTTAACCAATCATGTTATCATGCTCATGCATCACCCTTGCAACTGTATACATATTTTGTGAACCTGATTTATTACATCCTGTGCGCAGGCATCCATGATACAAAAGAAAAACAGTTGAAAAAAATTTGTTGAAAGAATTCAACAGTAACTGGGGCTAATTTATCTATGGAGTTAGGAATTTGAGAGCTGTAGCAGAGGAAAGATTTTCAGAGAGTAAATGATTTTTCCTTTTTGAAAGACCTATTCCTCATATTTTTATAATTAATTGATGGAAATACAAAATTCAGAATAATGAGGCTACATATCTTTCTACTAGCCACTTCAAAAATTCCCAACTTCACAAGTGATTTTGATTTAACCCTGAAGATCTGTGGAAACTGCTGTGATCACACCCCGGTTTCCATATCTCCCGCTGTGTGTTAATGATGATGATGATGATGAAGACGATGACTATGAAGGCCTTGGTCAAACCTCCTTATTTCAGTTTTAATGCACACTTGTGTCCCGAAGAGATTTTTTCTTTTTTCTTTTCGGAAAAGATACCAGAATTTATTGCGTTAAAATTTTTCTCACGTCTGTTTCGGGTTCATAATGTATGTGTGTATTTATGTGTATGTGTGTTGTTGTTCCTACCAGATGAAGGTGAATGAAAGTGAGGAGAACATTGCAGAACACGAGAGTTTCCATGACAATATTCTGAATATGGAGAAGTGGTTAATGATCATGAGACAGAAGCTAGAGTCGTTTCGCAGATCAAATGGGGAATGGAGCATCGATAACCGCCAGCATGAGGCTGAGGTACACCTATGAGCAACAATTTTGGCTTAGTTACTACAGTAAATATTAGTCTTATCAAGACTAGTACATGATATAAACATAACAAAGCTTCTGAAAGCTTTTTGCAATGTTTGATGGATCCAATTTTAATCTGTGATTTTAATATAATTATTATTATGATTATATTTTATTTATATAATTAATCTGTTGATTTATTTGTTCAATAATCCAAATGAAGAAGCAAAACATTTCTGTAAAATCATTTTGTTATAAAGCAAAACAACATTCAAACAATGTGCAAACTAGGCTTTAAACACTTTAAAAAACTTAAACAGCAAAAAAAGTTAAAATGTTTTTAACATTGTGTGCTAAAAAAGCATGTTATGATTTATATAAAGAGTTCATACACAGTTATGGAAAACCTGGAAATATCAGGCAATTAGAAATAAATTTCAGTCATGGAAATTAAGAAAAGCCTGTTGTAATTGGATAAAAAAAAATTGTAATCCTTGAATATAAGAATACAGACCAAACTAAATGATAATTAAACATTTGTTGTCAGCTATTTTTAGTGCTGGGCGGTATACCGGTTCATACCGAATTCCCGGTGTTTATTTTTGTTATGATATGAATTTTTTAAATGCCACAATTTATAATACAACTGCTTAAACAACGTTCGGAACACGACACTGTTTGAAGGGGGTCCCTTTTCACTGTTGCACTGTGGTGAGGGAACAGCTGTATGTGTTACTAAGCGTGACCGTTCCGAAACTGAAGCTGTAGAGCTAATAGAACGTGATGACACAGAAGAACTCATCCACATTGACCGCCACAAATATCCACCACCCCCTGCCATCAGCTCCCGCGTCTCTCACACACACGAGCGCGACTTAAGCACTAGATTGAGCAACTTTCAGACCCTTTTAGCGGCTTTTTTCCATAAAATATTCATATTGACAAACCTAGCGACTTTTTTGGATAAACCTTAACTATGGTTCAGTTGGAAGATTTTGCCAGTGCTGTCCCGCAAATGCGAGGTCCGACTTTCCCGGAGAATTGTCAGCTCTCTCGCCGTCTGTTTTGTGCAGTGAGTGGCAGAGAAGCAGTGCATTCAGTTGGTCGCACCGCAGCCGACTCATCAATAAATGAGTACAAAACAGCGTTTCCAAGCACCTGTCGCTTACTGATTATTTGGAATTATAAATATGAGCGTAGTTCGTCTGTTAATATCACATGCACTTTTTTGTTTGTTGTGTTTTTTTTAGTTTGTTACTCAGACCCAGGCAGCGCGCTGCATGAGACAAAAAAGAAATATAGCCAAAATAGCCGCTATTTAGTGTAGATGCATGTTGATTTTATCAGACAATGCCGTGATTATAAATGAGAGCGACTCCTGGTTAACATGTATGAAAAGGGGTCGTGTTTAGTCACTATTTAGTGTGGTATTTTTTGACAATATTCACTCATCATGACAGTAAAATAGGGAATTCTAAGTCATTATACTGCAGTATTTCCTCTCTCAATCAGTAGAAAATATGGTTAACACCCGGTCATGCATGAAAAAAAAATACCTTCATGTACCGTGAAACCGGTATAATTTAGAAAAATACCGTGATATAAATTTTTGGTCATACCGCCCAGCACTAGCTATTTTCATTATCACTTTTTTTTATCAGTTAATTGATGTAGCATTTGTATTTTGACAGAAATCATGAATGCCATGTTACATTTTTGTGAGATAAAAATTCTACACTTTAACCCATTTTATAAAGATATTTAACTATAGTCAAATATTGATGTTTTTCTATTAATCACTATTAGTTTCTTTGATTCTCTTGAGTCATGTCATAAAAGCAAATGAATGTTTGCCTGAGTATGCATGTCTTTGTAGTATTTTAGACTCAAACTTGATTCACTGTTGTTGTCCTCTAGAGGGCACTAGGAGAGTTTCCAGAGAAGGAGCTTCAACTTCATCAGACAGAGGCTCAGGGTCAGACCGTGCTGGCCAGAACCTCTGATGAAGGCAAAGTTCACATCCAGCAAGACCTTAAACGCCTCAGAGAGACCTGGATGTCCCTTCACACGCTTAGTCTCAATCCTTACAGGTTAGAAGAAGTAAGGCTTGCAGTTATATAGTGGGTGTTGATGGTATTAAATGAAGAAAAACTATGACTCAAGGAGCATAATTATGATATTTTGTCAGACCTGTTGAACAAGCCTCATATAAATTGCAGCAGACATATTTCACATTCTAATTGTACTGCACCCAGTTCACCTAGTCATCTTGATTTTAATTATTGTTGATTGCTTTGTGAATCAGTGCTGTGATCACACTATGTTTACTAGTCAGACGTTGAGGAAAAAGATCCAGAAATTTGCATTTACTCTTGAACAAAGTATTTTAAAGGTGATATGTGTAATATTTACATTTAAAATACTTCAAAATAGACATAATACCTGCTGATTAATTACTGACCTGGCCAGTGTATCTCACTTTTTTTTAAATAAAAATTAAATTTTTGACAACCTATTTATTTCTTTAACCATAACTTACTAGGCTTCTGAATGGACATGCTGCCACAGGCGACCAAGATCCCCTATTACAGAGAACCGAGTTTCTGGACAGATGGGCAGAAGGGCATCACCAGGGAATGGATTCAGACTTTGAAGTGGGACTTGCCAAAGGAGATGAAGGAACAGGCCAGCATCAGAGATCCTACCACGGGCCAGAATCAACAGGTCACCTACAGCTGGAGAGAAACATGGAAGCAAAACCAGATCGAAGACCAGGAGGTTCAGAGGTCTGGAGAAGAGAGTGGAGTTACCAAGACCAGTCCATGGATGATGAAGTGGATGCAGTCATATCTGGAGGTGACCGAAATGTGAACAGGAAGAGGATTGGGATGGACGAAGGTGACTTGCTCAGGAGCGGTGGTCAGACTGGGGAATGGGTTGAACAACACATACCTGGTTCTGGGATTGAAGACCTTGATATAAAAGGTAGATACAGCTTTTTAAGTGGGACTGACTCTGATGCACAGAAAAGGATGCGGCAGTCACAGATCCCCCCTGATGACACTCAGGTTAGGATGATTAAAATATGATTCTTGTTATTTTGTTATATCTTGTTATAAGGCTGAGACTTATATCAGAATAAAATACTTATTTTCCACCATAATTTGCAATAAATTCTTTAAAAATCCTACAATTTGATTTTCTGGATTTTTTTTCTCATTTTGTCTCTCATAGTTGAGGTATACGTATGATGAAAATTACAGGCCTCTCTCATCTTTTTACGTGGGAGAACTTGCACAATTGGTGGCTGACTAAATACTTTTTTTCCCCACTGTATGTGCAGTGATTTAATATCAGTGATTGCAATATAATTAAAATTCATAGTAAATATTCCAGTGCTTTTATTTGATGCCGTTTTTGGCCATGCTTTATAATATTTTGCCGTCTCTCCTTGTCTTGACTTGGTAGGCTATAATAAAGTCTTTGATTTAAACATAAGTAGCAAAATGGCCTTATAAATAGTAGGAACTGTCAAAGTTTCAAACCTTTTACAGGAATTACAGGAATAAATTGCATTTTAAAATGTATCAAAATAGTGAAAAAATTATTGAATTGCAATAATATTTCGCAATATTACTGTTTTTACTGTTTGAATAAATGTAGCCTTGGTGAACTTAAGAAACTTAGAAACTTCTTTTTTTTTTTTTAAACTCATTAACAAAATCATTTTGTTAATTTAGTGAAAAACGCAAGAAAAATGTGCCTTTATTATTTTAAACTAGATTTATACTTTAATTTACATTATTAAACATGTTGAGTCATACTCTTGAGTCTGGTGCTATTTCAGAGCAAATACGTAAAAAGAGATGTGCAATATCATCAAAAGACTTAGAAATAGAGATATTTTTTATTTTTTTTAGCTAGGTCATCCAGCCCTAAAACCACTATTATGCAAGCAGTGCCTAGGCTATAATCATAAATATAATCATGTCTCTTTTCATTTCTGCTGCAGATGGGCTCTCAGGGGCCCCACCATCTTGTTGATATGGAGTCCCAGAGGAGGGAGTTTGAAGCGTGGCTTCACAAGGAAAATGACAAACTCACAGGAATTCTGAACAACCAAAGATCCTTGAGCGATAAAGAACTGAGGATAAGACAGAATACACTCAAGGTTGGTGGGGTTTGAGTTTTTTTGCTTTCTTTTTTATGTTTTTGATTAAAGTTTCATGTGGAGTCCAAAATATCAAAAAGTGTTAGAGTAAAAAACAATCTTTTTTATAGCTTTGATGTCTTATTCAACAAAGCGCAGTGTAATGTTTTACTTTGATCACAAAGAACACACTGGATAATTTTCAGTATGTGAAGCTACATGTCTGTGGAAATCTTATGTGTTGTGTGACGTACATGCGTTTACATCAGTGCCATTGTGGTTGCAGATCTGTGAAGCTTTGAAAGACTTGTGCTCAGGTTTTACCCCAGGCTTGGAAAAATTCAAACTTCACAACTACCTGGAAGCTGTCATATCTGATGACAGTTGAACTGACAGCCACTGTGTCACATTGACTTTTTTTGTTCACAGCTCTGATTTGGGAAAGCTCTTGAATGGCAATTTATAGGTGGTCTTCCTGTTGAATATACCCTGAAACTACTTCAATCTTTTGCATATTGTACTCTGGGGGGAAAAAAAACACATTGAGATTATCTTCATTTAAAGGGTTCGTTCACCCAAAAATTTAAATTAGTCCATAAATTACTCACCCTCAAGGCATCCTAGGTGTATATGACTTTCTTTTTTCAGACATATCCAGTCGGAGTTATTTTAAAAATGGTCTTTGATCTTTCAAGCTGTTTAATGGCACTCAACGGGTGTTGCATGCATCAGTCCAAAAGAAGTTAAATAAAAAGCGCCCATCCATAAAAATGTCTCACACAGCTCCAGGGGGTGAACAAAGTCCTCCTGTAGCGAAGCGATGCGTTTTTGTAAGAAAAATATCCATATTCAAAACGTAATAATCACTTTAATCTAGCTTGTGCCAACAGTTGTACACGGAAGCAGCTCCGGGCGGATGACGTATGAGTTCAGCGTTGCGCATGCGTCGGTGAGTCTCGTGAAAACCAACGTTTGTTAACAGGAGCAAAGGAAGCAAAGTTTCCTTACTTTAGCAAAGGAAAACCAGTCTCCTCTTGGCTTATATCGAAATCCTCCGACATTCTTCTTTACAAATCCTCGTTTTGTTCTTCTAATAAGTGACCATTTTTTTTATTTGATCTCTCCCCTGCACTTCCGCGTTCGTCACTTCTGCATGCTCAAAGCCGACCTCATACATCATCCTCCCAGAACTGCTTCTGTGTACAACAGTGAGCGCAAGTTAGATTAAATTGATTATTACGTTTTAAATATAGTTATTTTTCTTACAAAAACGCATCGATTTGCTACAGGAGGACTTTGTTCACCCCCCCCCGGAGCTGTGTGAGACACTTTTTATTAAGGATGGGCGCTTTTTATTTAACTTCTTTTGGACTGATGCATGCAACACCTTGCTGAGTGCCATTAAACAGCTTGAAAGATCAAAGATCGGAAGACAATTTTTAATATACCTCCGACTGGATTCGTCTGAAAGAAGAAAGTCATATACACCTAGGATGACTTGAGGGTGAGTAACGTATGGGCTAATTTTCATTTTTTGGTGAACTAACCCTTTAATTAAATTTCCCCTACAGCTGACAAAGTGCCCAGATGCTTCAATGCTAAGACCTGACTTTATGTTTGCAGGAACTGCTTCCTTCTCCATTAATAACGGTTGCTAATTCAGACACACTTTTACTTATAGGCATAACTTAGAGATTGCCAGTATAATGTGCTCATAAAGTGTTAAAAAAATCTGTTGGATATTATTTCTATGTGGACATTAAATTACATTGTAAAGCATTTTTATCTGCCATTTTTTTTCTGTAAAGAAATTGTTAAATTACTCAGTAATGTCATTAAAAACTGATGACTGTGAAACAGATTTGCTTATCAGTCAACTGGAAAGATGAAAATATAAAGCAGCACATTTGGTTTCAGCATTAATAATGATAAGAAATGTTTCTTAAACGCCAAATTAGCATATTAGAATAATTTCAGAATTCTGTTGTAATGGTTGCTGAAAGTTCAGCTTTGCCATCAGAGGAATAAATTACATTTTTAAATATATTCAAATAGAAACAGTTATTTTAAATTATATTCATATTTCACAATACTTCAGTATTTACTGTATTTTTATTAAATAAAAGCAGCCCTGATGAGCATAAGAGTCTTCTTTCAAAAACGTAAAAAAAAAAGATAATCCAAACCCCAACCTTTTGAACAGTACTGTATTTGCATCACAAAAATTGCAAAAGCTTGTTTGATAATATTGTGAACATCAAATTTCTAAGGCAGGATTGGTCTGTAATGTTTTTTAAGCAAAGGGTTAATTTTGGATTCGAAATAACTGGATTATGATCCACAAATCTTTAACTACTACACCTACACAAACCCCTCATAGTAAATTTGTTGTGAAAATTATTATTATTATTTTTATAGGGTTTACATGCCGGTGTAGCCTGGGGTCAGAGTCAGTTCCAGAAGTTGATGGTCGGTCGGCAGAGTACGTCAGCAGAGGAGGACGTGGAACTAGAAGAGCTGCATTACCGCTGGATGTTATACAAGTCCAAACTTAAAGAGGCTGGTGACCTCAGAGGTCTGCTGAAACACAAGGTACAAAGAGAAAATCTGTGACCATTATTTTTCTTTTATTTATTTTAAAGTTTAATTTATTAATTTAATTAATTAATATTTTTTATTTATATTATATTGTATGAGATTAGATTGTATTTATAATAAAAATATTATTCAACTTTTATTAACTTTTATTTTATTATTATTATTCAACTTTCCCTCAGGAAGGTATGGGTACCTATTTTTCTTTACATTATATTTACATAGCTTTTTTCCCTTGTGCCATAAAAATGTATTTTTAATGTGAAGCCATAATTTTGACTCCCTTCAGTTTTTAAAAATAGTGAACAAAATTATTATATGATGAACACCAGGAAAGAGCTTTCTCGTACTTCTGCACTGTCTCTCAAACACCCAGAGAGAAAGAGTTCCCATGTTCCTCAGCTTTGATACAGTTAAATAGAAAGGGTTGTATAAAGTTCAGTTATCTCACAAACCGGTGCTCAGAGCGATGGCGGTTGTTGAGCAGTTGTGGGTGGACATTCACTCCCACAGTTCTACAGGAGCTTGAAAAACATCCTTATTTTTTCAGGTATTCATTTGTCTGTGTGAATTTGTTTTTCTGCATCCAGTGAGGATCTATATTCTTGTCAAAGAGTTTTTTGCAATGTCATGATTTGGAGGAATTATATGAGATTTATATGGAATTTTTCTCTATGTTATTGTTGGCAATTTAAAATTACTTTAAAAACTCAGAGAAGCACCTCTATAGCTTATTGTGTGTACATATTATTTTTGTAAAAAGTCTAGTGAGTCATCTACCGTGGCAACAAAGACTTTAGAAATACTAAGACAGTTCACCCATATAACCATGAGTGGGATAAATAGCAGCGCTTAATATTGTGGAATAAATCCCGTCTTCTAAATAAAAGAGCCATTCAACAATTGGAAAAGTCATTGCGTTACTGCAGGTCCAGTCGTGTCCTGAGATGAGTGCTTAGGACTACACATGCACATTGGCTGGGCCAACCTGAAATTTACGCATTTTAGTGCTTTTTGAGGACAAGAAACAATATTAATGGACAGTTCCTGTCAGATTTTATTGCTGATTTTAAATGTTATTTAAACATGTATGAGTTTAGCCAGCAGTTTTTGAGATTTCCCCACTCAAGTAGATAGGAGTTGGCCTTGCATGCCCAAAATAGCTGCTTGGAGGCACTGCAAATATGTCCAAGTGAACTGACTTTCCTTAAAGAGACTTTGACAACACTAAGTACAAAAACTTTTTAAAATAACATTTCAAAAATCCTTTTAGAATAAGATAAACCCAGAATGCATTGCAACAAGTTCACTCTGGGTTTTTATCCAAGAAAGGAAAAAAGTAGATTTTAGTGAGTTATTTTATTCATAACTGAAAAGCATCTGTAGAAAATTCTTCCATGTAATAAACATGGGCCAAAATACCAGCAACAGTGTGTGACAACCTTGTGAAGACTTACAGAAAACGTTTGACCTCTGTCATTGCCACCAAAGGGTATATAACAAAGTATTGAGATTAAATTTTGTTATTGACCCAATACTTATTTTCCACCATAATTTGCAAATAAATTCTTTAAAAATCCTACAATGTGATTTTCTGGATTTTTTTTTCTCATTTTGTCTCTCATAGTTGAGGTATACCTATGATGAAAATTACAGGCCTCTCTCATCTTTTTAAGTGGGAGAACTTGCACAATTGGTGGCTGACTAAATACTTTTTTTCCCCACTGTATGTGTGTGTGTGTGTAAAATATTTACCTTTTGTAGTGTTTAGTGTTGATTTTGTTTGTTTAAAATTATTGATTTTAATATAAGCTTTTCATCAATCACTTGTTTCAGATCTATAACTTGCGTGATTTTATTATATTTTTGGATTTTGCATGAAGAATAATGCATACTGACAGTGATGAGCAATGACCAAAGTAATTTAGTTTCAGTTGGATTTAGTGATTTGCTGCAGCAAAGTTGAGCAGTGACTGCAGTGAAACTAGCGTGATTTAAACTGTTGGACACTTGTAGTTGAGTAGAAACACCTACAGTGTTAGCATGCAACAGCACAGCTATTTGGTGACCTCCACAGTGAACGATCCTGTAGAAACTCAAGGTTTTGTAGTAGAGCCAATCAACATATGACGGCATCTGTGGTTGTGTGTGTTGCAGGCGAACAGTGGTCTCGGCTTCCTGTACCGTGTATGTCGCGTGGCTCTTCCTCTCCAGCTCCTGTTGTTGGCCCTGCTGCTGCTGGCCTTCCTGCTGCCCATGATGGACGAGGGCACCAGCTGTTCACTATCCAACAACTTCGCCCGCTCCTTCAACATCATGCTCCGCTACGACGGACCTCCTCCCACTTAAGCGTCAACAGCAGCTTTTTAAAAAAAACAGCAATCTGTGCTTGTGTTTATATAACAAATACTTATATTTTTTTATAATTGTTCCGTTAATGTTTGAAGTCATTTTATTCTTGGTTCTCAGCTGGTCTCGCTCCACCGTACACCCACCGGTGGACCCAGCAGATCAGAAAGCGTGTGTGTGTGTGTGAGAGAGAGAGTGAAAGTGAGTGGGTGGATGGATGGCATAGACACTCACAACCTGCTCGACATGATTCAAGCTGTTCATTTCTCGACAGGCGTTTGGAGAAGCCAGTGCAGCTTTTACAAAGAGCAAAACTCCCTTAAAGACATCTACTCAGGATCCATCGCAAGTCCCTCATATTTTTATGTTCGTTCTGTTGTTGCTAGTTACTAAAGTGATAGTTCACCAAAAAGAGATGTTCTGCCATCATTTACACAACCTCATGTTGTTCCAAACATGTTTGATTCACTTTCTTATGTGTAACACATTTTTTTTGTTTACAATGAAAGTCAATGGGGTCCAGTGTTGTTTTGGACCCCACTGGCATTCATCGTATGAATAAAAACAATAAAAAATATCTTGGTTGCAGACATGAGGGTGAGTAAATGATGACAGAATTTTAATTTCTGGCTGAGCTATTCCTATAAATAATTTTAATACTATGGTATGTCTTATGTTTAAACGGAATTGTGCATGTTTTTATTCATACCACTTTAAAATCTTTTATTTGTTGTTTTACTCAGGCCTCTCAAGAACTAAACTGTTTGATGATAGGATATAACTTGTCACTGTGTTGCGGGTATTTATTCTGATGTCATAGATAAGACTATCATCTAAAAGTTTTGAAACTATAAGCTCCGTTTGAAATGTTCTTCATATATTGGAGAGTTTTAGAAGTGGAAAAGGTCAAAATCAACACAGACATTCCTGTATCACTCCATAGCAAAGGTGCTGTGCACATGCGATCATAGAATAGAGAGCTTTCTTTCAACGTTTTTTGGAAGTCGTGATTGCAGAATGACATTGTTGAGCTTTAAGACTGAGTTTTGGCATTGGTTTGCCTCTGATTGTTGTTATAGGTTATTGTAAGTGTTTTGCAGGCATAGATTATGAAGTAAAAATATCCCTGTTTGGGGAGAATGTCCTTTTTTTGAACAGAATGTTGGAACTCGGTGACATTATTGGTCTGTTTTTGTTTTCTTTCCTTTTTTTGAGAGCAGTGTCTCAGCTGGGATTTCTAAGGGCCCAAAACCATCAGAGGTTGAGTTCAGTTATTCTTTCAGGACTGCTTCTTTAAGGTCATGGTTTGATGGAAGGAATGGCTTGATTTATTTTTTTTCCAGAACAATGGCTTCTCTCACAAACACTCTGTCTTTCAGAGCTGGCAAAAAGTCAAATCCCTCTTTGAACGTATCCTTGAGCTTTATGTTTGCAGTGTTAGACATTTTATTTAGAGGCTAATTGCATGGCTTTACAGGTTTGAGTAGTATTACACACACACAATGCACTGAACTGCTTTTATCCTGTAGCAAAATGCCCTTTTCAAATTGTATTCAGACCTCTCTACATATCTCTCCTATGTTAAAACTGCAATTTCTGTTGACATGTGATCTAATGTTAAATGCATTAATAATAGTGCATGGTCAGAAAGAGACTTGACAGAAAATATGCTGCATTTTCTAAAAGAAACTGTAATGTCGAAGCTCGTGATATCAGTTTATTGCACTGCTTTATTGTTTGTATTTAAAGGAAAAATGTACCCAAAAATGAAAATTAGCTAAAAATGTACATGAGTTTGTTTCTTCATCGAAACGGATGTGGAGAGATTTAGCATTACATCACTTGCTCACCAATTAATCCCCTGCAGTGAATGGGTGCCGTCAGAATGAGAGTCCAAACAGCTGATTAAAAACATCACAGTAATCCACAAGTAATGCTCACGACTCCAGTCCATCAAGCACGTGATGTAATGCTACATTTCTCTAATTCTGTTCTGATCTAGAAACCTATCTACATCTTATAAGGCCTGAGGGTAAGTACATTTTCAGCAAATATATATTTTTGGGTGAACTATTTCTTTAAACTCTTTTTATGTCAATGCAAACCCTTTAATGATCTGTATTGGTTTCATCAATGATACTGTATGTTCCATTAGGCTGCAAATGCTAGACTGTACAAAATTCTGTTAAATGGTTCAGCTGTTATAAGATCACCGTATATAGCTAGTTTACAGCACTGTGTGCATGGGAGAGTTTTCTCATTAGATATCTTTGATTTGGGAAGAAAATTCTGGAAATTATTTTCAAAGACAGCAAAAAAAATTTGAATGAAAGCATGTAGGAATTATAGTGAGACTTCAAATGCATGAAGGGTTGTAAGACAATGTATTAACAAAAAAGGTTAAAGATTTATTTTATCATATTTTGGATGAAACTCATAATGTATCTGTAAACCGATAAATGTGTGTGTGTATATATATATATATATATATATATATACAGTATGAAGCTTATAACCAGTATTTTTGTATTTTACTCCAGGTAATAAACATGCAGTGCGTTTTCAGTACTGTTTGTGTTTCTTTTGTTGCTATGGACTTGAGATTGAATAGATAACTCTGTGACTCAATATCAAGATTTCCATTCTGAAAGCCAGTGATCCTCTTTTAGCAGGAAACGTATCTGTTTATCTTCATTAAGCATTAAACCAAAGCTGAACTGGTCTGACAAGATGTGCAATGATAATGAAACACAAAACCAGTGTGCAGGAGTGAATAAACATGCAATAGAGCACAGCTAGGTCTTCCCTATCAATAGGGGCCATGGAAGGTCAAAAGGTCGGCCTGAGGTTACTATACAAATGATTTGATTTGCTTCAGATTGTTGGAAAGGAGATGCCATAGGAAGGTTTTTACATTTGATCAGTTCACATTTTAGGACCAGACTAACTCTGGTTAAGGAAATAAGCTTTTGGGTGTTTATTTGCATAGATTTGTCATTTCTTGGTTGCCTTCGCAACAAAGCATGTGGTATTCTTGTCACTTCAGATTTGTTTTTTCGTTTCATTTAGGACACCAGCTAAAGGAAAACCAGACCTAATCGAAGGAAACTGTCAGAACAGCTATTTGAGTCACTATCAGACTGCACAGATATGTTTTGGTTAAATATTGGTCATAGCGGAGTGCTTTTATTGACATAGTGGCTATGTAGTCACGGGGTTGTTTGTCTTCGAGGTGTGCATGTGAACTCTTGCCTATTTGGCACAAAGATATGATAGTATATGACTTTAAAAGTAAAGCACACTTGCATGACCTAATTTATTCAAATGCGATTCCTGCGAGTGGGAAAGAGTTGGATTTTTCCTACACGCTCACCCACATGCTCAGCAGCAGATTTCACACTGCCGTTTCCTTCCTGCTTAGCAATGGGCAGATATTTCTCTGGGGTGGAAATGCCATGTGTCATATCAATGCAATGCAAATCATGTTTGTTTGCTGATGCCTAGAAATTCTGGAGGAGGGACCCAGGTTGTGGTATGATGTACATTAGCCATTCAGGTGAAAGTAATGGGGTTTGAATAATACAGTGATCATTAGCATTCACGTCCTTGTAGAACCCGTAATTACAACATGTGAGCTGGGAGTTTTCTGAAAGCTACAACTTTGAGTGCCTGACCACTTCTGATTCATTATCCGCTATGTTTAGGCATTGATAGTGCGATAGTTCTGAGTCCAAGGGTGTGAGCAGCTCCAAGTAGAACGTCACGTGTTGTCATCTCGAAATCACAGTAATTACGTCATGGCGTGAATGCAGCATTTTACCCAAGTTAAGCTTCACCTTTACACACTAACACATTAACCAAAAACCAATAAAAAAATACCATTTATCTGCAAAACAAGACTTTGCATGTATGAAACTTTTTTAAAGGAATTTACACCAGTGTTACTACTTTTAACTAAAACCGGTTTTATTTTAGTATCATTAAGATTACGTTTTTATTCATATTTTGAATTTTTTGAAATTTTTTTGCTTACATTTCAATTTTAGTTAAAGTTTTTGAAAGTTTTATTAGTTATATATACTATAGTTATAGTATATATTGTTATAATATATATAGGTTTTATTTGTTTTATTTCATTTTGAGTTATTTCAGTACAAGGCAGCAAGTTCAGTACAAGAAATGTTGCTGAAATATAATACATTTCTTTTTTCAGTTTAATTTCATTTTATTTAAAGTACTGAAAATGCTTTTAATGGTTTTAGGTTTAGTTTTAGTTCTGGTCAACTGTAATAATCCAGACTAAAATGATAACCAAAATTACGTTTAAAAAGTTTTTGTTAAATAAAGTTGAAATAAAATAAATGAGAGGAAAATTGTATAAATAAAAAAAACATTCTAAACTTTCTAAAACAAATACAATTATGGAAATATTTCAAAATGACAGTGCATAACAAAATTACTAAATATTTAAACTAAATGAAAACTAAAAAATCTAAGCAAAATATTACTAAATACTGTAATAGTGTATAAATAATACTAAAATACCACTGCTTTACATAACACTGTAAATAACACTGATCCTGTATTTGTTCAGTCTGTTTTTAATAAGTAATTCATAATCTGGACCCACAAATATTGACTGTGCTCACTGAATAAAGAAAGATGAACTAAATTAATCTTGTGTCATGTGAACGGAAATCGGCACTTTTGGTAATAGAATTATCTTGGCAGAAGAGATTTCTGAGATGAAGCTGTAGTCTCACTACTAGCCGGATGTGCTCTAGCGTGTGGCATAATCACATCTAGCCACTTAACTTTTGACTTGAGTACAAGTTACACATTTGCTGGTTTAAGTGGGATAGGAAAAACACACCAAGAGCTCCTGGTCACATGATAAACTGCTGTTGTTAATGTGCCGGACATGACTCGCATTGCTAAAGACTGCAGTTTTCTCGTTGGCTTAATAATGTGTGAAAGTCTGGACAATTTTTAACCTTGTG